CCCCTCTTCTTTAGTCTTCTTCAAAGTGTGGAAAATAATTCTTACGAACATACTGCCCACTTTATCCGAGCTCTTATCTCGTGTCCGAGCGTGAAGCAACCGTGACTACTTGCACATACAAAGTGTAATACGCGTCAAGTGCTGCTCCTTGGGAGTACTCTTAGCGTTATCATTAAATCTAACGTAATTATGGTTATCCAGTTGAAAAAAAAACATATATATATATATATATATATATATAGCCACCATTCGGTGTGTATAGGTGCTTAAATGTAAATACCTTATGAGACCGGTGTCCTTATGCTTCCCGATGAGAAAGCTCGTAGCTCCATCTGCAATTTGATTCGCCCAGGGCGGCTTGACCCATACGAGATGCTTCAAGTGTCCAGCGTAAACAGCAGGCAGCATCCAGTTCTCGATACTGATCTCTCTGTGGAAAACAAAAAGGCAATTACCAATTAACCCAGGTGCACGTGTTTCCTTCGTCCATATAAGATACGCAACTGCAGCTGGATCTGAGCGCACGAAAATTGTTTCAGTCGAGAGCTTCAAACAGCAAATTAAAATATCAGGCACTGAGAGTGATCAGCTGCAACATTGCCATGCGGAATATTCGAGAGGATTATGGTACTGGAAAAAAATTATTATTTTGAAAGAAAAAAAATTGCCGGTATTGTACAAAGCTCGAAAAAGCTACCAGACTGACGGGTAGTGCTTCCTCCTGGAGTAAGGTAACACGAAGAGAAAGGTAAGGAAGACGGAGAAGGCGAGGAAATCGACACGCACGGCGAGACGCCGTTCACCGCGAGTCGAATACGCGATGCGAGCTAAAGGTTCGTCGGTCCCAGGACGCGTCGATATTTCGCATTCCTTGTGAAGACGCGCCTTGCTTTTTACAGTTGCTGACATCGAACTGTAATGTGACAGCGGGCGTACGCTTGGCAGTGCTTGCGTATGCTCGCGTATACGTTTTCAACGCGTCGCGGTGGTATGTCTATGGATTGCAGAATGGGTCTAACCGAATAATATGTATAGAAAATGGGTTACAGCAATCGCGAGCGGCATGATGAAATATTCGCTGGAGAAAATTGGTTGGCAGATATTGCGAGATGCCGGAATGGATGAGAGTTTAAGGATGGGAATGTGAAAATGCACTGTGCGAGACTTCATAAATACACTTGGGTAAAAGATTGGATAGGAGAAGTAGTGATGGGAGAGGTTCGTAACTAATCGCGAGTTTATGAGAAAATTTATGGTTGGATGACAATTATTGTTGTTGATGTGTAATTTTTACATATTTTAATTAATGGAAGTTGAGTTGAATGGATGAGCTTGTGAAGTGGTATATCAACTTCGTCGCTAATTGTTATTGCAATTACTGACATCTATGGTAAGAATGTGGAAATTCGCGTAAGTAAAAGGTTAAGTTACTCGTAAATGTCGATGCAACCAATTCTGATGGAAATTCTGTTGGAATTGCAGACTTTGGCTGCAGTTTATGCACTGCCGGCCAGTAATAATTATCTACAAATGGATTTATCCATGGATGCACTCTGAGACGTTACCGACCGTTGCAATGAATACTGTGCATTTTATATATATATATATATATATATATATCGTAACGGAAGATTACACTAAAGGACCATACAAATTTTCTAAGTGTTAATGTAAACAGTGGGTATGCTCAAACTGAACTAATAACGGAATCAATCACTTTTTTGTCTTCTGAAAAAATGTCTAGAGCAATTCATAAAAATGTACAGACGCAATTATAAATGCATTTTAAATATTGTTATGATATACGTTGGAGGTATTCTTCTTCTTATTTTTATTTGCATCCGAAATAAGCACGGTAATCGAAAATAATCTCTACCGGTTTGTTCTGATATGTTCACCTTTTGCGAATGCCACACGCCATTTAAATCTTTCATAGGCATCCAGATAAAATTATTTGTGACGCTATTTGATCCATTAAGATTTATAAACACAATACCTGCATCGTCGAAATTTAGTATTACACATTTAGCAACTGTCGGCGATCGTTAAATGTTACGTAAAATATGTATAACTTTAGAATGCTACATATACTCCGATCAATACAAATTTAGATAAACTGTGAATAAGTCGGTACACAAAATACCTACTGATGCCCTTTGTGTAACACAGTCGGTAAAGAGTAAATACTCGGCCGATAACCGTTATCGACTGTAGAAGTTATCATCAAAATTATGCAAGGTACGAGGATTCCGTTAATAAAGTTTGAAATGGCAGTATAATTACATGATAAATAGGTATAATCGCTTAATAGAATAGAAAGAAAGAATATTACTTACTCAAACAGTCGTTCCTTATCCCAAACAGTATCAGCCGACATATCCTTTGGTAAGAGCATGTCGGGATGGGAATCAAGATGCACCAGGGTATTTCCTTCGAATGGCAAATGCTTGGATCCAATGCACCGGTAGACAAAGGGCAAAACCTGCAAAAGATAGTAAAAAAAAAGACCCATGATAAAAAGGAGCAGGTTACCCAAAACCGCGTACGAAAAAACATGCAAGGTAAAAGTATGGTGTGAGTAAAATAATAGATGGTGAAAACGTCATATCAAAATGACAACAAGCATCGTACACGTGCTGACACACAGCCAGACACGTAATTACAAACAAGTTTATAACCCTGTAGCCAATCAATTCCGTGTAACGTAATAGCAATATGAAAACAAAAACATAACGAACCTCGTCGTGACTCTCGGCTACATAAATCGGCGTGCTCTTGAAATATTTACGCGACATTATCTTTGGATTTAGAACAAATGATTTTCACAGAGACCGATGACAGCCGGAACTCTAACCAAGCTAAAAGTAGAACGAAACACTAGCCGACTCGCACCAAGCAAGAATCGCGGGATAACTGCTACGATATGAAACGAGTCGTGTTACCGAGCACACGCGTTCACCGACCGAAGGTTCTATACAAAATAAAGCGCGAAACACAAATGGTGATTATTTCGCCAATGAATGGGGGGATCCCCTCGATTTATCGTAATACATGAGGCACATTATACTCACCACCATATTGCAATTCTCACGGGACAAGTTTTTTGAAGGTTGCCCTTTGTATTTTTCGTACTTGTTCTTTTTCTTTTCCACAGCCGTTTTATAGAAAGAGAGATATTGAAACTCGATCCAAGACGAAATTACCATTGACCAAACACCTGCTTTACTAGTATATAGGACGAATTTTTGTACGGTACGGTTTTTTGGCATGGGTTGATCCATTCTTTATTTGAACTATATATATATGTGCAATTTTTTTGCTCAAGTATTATGAATGTACCATTGTTTAATTGGTGCATTTCTTTCTTCAGTGTGGTAGAAGATTTGTAGGATTTCTAAAACTAGATTTATTCTTATTTCAGTTCACGTAGTACTCTGTTACGGTCCAAATTATTTATCGTGGTTTTTTTTACGCTTTTTATAATTTGTTTTTGTTATACAAAATAATATTTACAGCTGTATATAAAATGTACCTATTTTGTTAAATCTTACGTATAGCTGAATATTTACAAATAGCTACATCACATTAGTTAATTACTGTAACATTTGAGAATAATATTCTTCTAATTGTATCTGATGAGTCTGCATTTTCAATGAGCTTAGAAAATCTTCAATATTATTATACATTTTATATGATAAGACATTTGTTGGCTCTGACGTATAATAACAAACATTTTCGTGATTTTCATAATAATTAGATTTCTGAGGATAAATTTGAGAATTCCAATATCGATTAAAATTTTTAACACTGGAATCCAAAAATGAATTGTTCTGTTGATAATGTGTCATTGGCATTGCTGTGTGATTCGCTAGAAAATCATCCTCAGTCTTATAATTTAAATTAGTGTGAATCTCATCCTCTAATCCAGACTCATTTGACAGAATCTTAGATTTTGATACTTTGCTTTTGTCACTTAAAGAATTAGATGGTAAAATTATATTCTTATTTTGAGAATGCTGCTTGTATCCATCATCTGAACTTAAATTCTTTGTAACATAAGCTACATTATTAGTTTGAACTGGTGTGAATGATCCAGCTGTATGATTTGTTGTGTTTTTCTGAATCAGCCTACTTGCAGTCTTAGAGTCCTGTTTACCTGGGGATTTATCTTCAATATTCTGAGTGCTCTGGTTATACTTTGAACATTCTACATTGGCAATAAATAAATTTAAAGTCGTTTTATCACTTAATATTATTTTACAATCTTCTTCCACTTGTTTTACATTTCTATTGATTTTTTCTTTCTCCAAAAAATCTATCATTGTTTCATAAGAATCTTGCCCTTGCTTCCTCATCCTGGATTCTATATCCAAACACTCTTCCTCCGGTAAAAACGCTAGTAATTGTCGGATTCTCAAGAATCTACTCTTTGGGTCAGGATGGGAATGGAGGTACTTTAAAGCCTCACGATATCTGTCGATTTCTATTCTTGACATCATCAAATTAGGCATTACATCACTATCCTTTGCAGGATATGGGAGATAATACTTAAATTCCTTAGAACCGTCTTCATATTTACTCTTGAAATCTTCAATCTCTCTATACATGTCAATTAAATTAACAAAATCCTGACGAAGTCCAGAATACAAGTAAGTGTCATTGACTTCAGCTTCGCTTCTTACATCTGGATATAACCAGAGTAATGATTTCTTTTGCATTTCAAGAAAGATTTTTAATGCTGCATAATACTGCTTATACAAAGACTTTCTATCGCAACGTAAGATGGTATCGTCTGATTCAGCAATGAGCCTTTCTAACATAGTAATCTCAAATTCTAGAGATTCTTTCCAGCGGAATGCGTTTCTCGTTTTCAGTTCTTCAGGATCCTTGATTTTTTTAGTTTCTTTATTTATGTCTTCTTTCTGAGCAATTATCCATTCTTGGAGATTCTTATATATGTCAAGTAGTAGCATGGCATTTGTGTCTAGGCCCTTAAAATTATCAACGATTTCAAAAACAAACACACCATTTTGTGTAAAATCTTCAGGGACACTTTCAGATTTTCTATCGAAATTTTTCATGTCTGATCCCACTGTATCATATTTATCATTATTAATTTCTTTAGGTTTGTACTTTAAATACTCTTCAATCGTTTCTATCGGAAATAATTCATTACTATTTTCTTTTGACATTTCCTGTAAATCTAGTTCAAAACATATGCCCCTATTCAGTTTCTGCATTTCTGAAGCAGTTTCAGAAATATATTTTAAATCAAATTTATAAACCCGTTCCGGGTCATGAATAGATAATGCTGAATATTGATTGCTCAAAGATTCATCCACTTTTTTGGAAACAGATTTATTTTCACTACGTTTCTTCAACCATTTTGAAAATAGTGAATCAATATTTAAAACAGAATCTATATTGATATCAGAGAATAAAGTTTCCATAGGCTCAACATTAATCGTGCCAGTATTCGTTGCTTTCTTCTTTTCACTGTCAATCTTTTTATTCACTTCTACATCAGGCACATAGACTTTCTCAGGCGACGATAAATTAGTAGCAATTGGAGCGCCATTTTCAGATTCCGTAATAAGTTTATCGATTTCAATGTCCTGGTTGATTTCCATATCTCCATCCTGAACGCTTTCAGCACAAATTTTGTCAAAGATAGAATCATCAGCATTCCATGGATCCTGAGAGAAATCTTGAGGAAGTTTGAGTAACGAAAAATTTGGTCCACCGACAGACAGCATCAGTTCTCTGAATGTGGGAAGTTCATTCTCAGATACTATGGTAATGGTTAATCCATGTGATCCATAACGTCCTGCTCTACCTATACGATGAAGATACGTTGCACCATCTATAGGAATATCTAAATTGATCACTATATTGACATGTTCTGCATCTATTCCTCTAGCAGTCAAGTCTGTCGTTAGCATAATTCTACATTTGAATGCCTTTAATTTACGAATGGCATCCATACGTTTTTTCATATCCTGATTTCCAACTATGTAAATGGCTGGTAAACCCATTGCATTTATTCTATTGCAAACTGATTGTGCTCTGCAAACCAAATAATGATTAATAAGTGATGGGGGACATTCCATTTTTTTGAATCATTGTAAAGATTTTGTGTTCTCAAAATAAATTAGTACCGTGTTTGATAGTTGGAAAATACTAGGCTCTGTTTAAACGGTATTTTACCAAAAATTTTAGCCAATTCCTGAACTTTAATCTCGACCTGGAAACCAATGATATAATTTAATTTCATTAGGCGACTAATTCTAATATATTGCATTATTGTTTGTTATCTCACCTGCTTCATAGCATTTGGATGATATTTTACGATGCATACGAATTGTCGTAAGCCTAATAAAATTGGACCATCATTATCTGGTGATGTTAAAATTGGTGAACGCATATACGTCTCTAAAAATGTTTCCAGGTCACCAGGATAAGTCGCACTTGATGCTATTACTTGTTTGTTGATTGGCAACTTGGAGTATATGTAACTAAAACGTTTAATGTCAGAAATAAGTCAGAAAAGATGCATAACTTTATCTGAAATACAGACTTTATATCTTTTTGAAAGCTGCTCTCCATTAATTTATCTGCCTCATCTAATACAAAGAGCCTAACATGCTCTACATTTAGGAAGCCTTTGTCAATTAAGTGTTTTATCCTGCCAGGTGCACCCACTGCTATTTGGCAACCATTTAATCTTTTTTTGTCACCTTCTATCGCCATACCACCAACAAAAGACTCCACTCGTAAACCTAAGAAAGTCTAGTATTTATATTGCAAATCGTTATAGAAAATACTGGCATCCCTGCAAATTTAATTATAGAAGAATTACCTTTTATTTCAGTACCAATAGATACCAGTACTTGAGAAATTTGCACTGCAATCTCTCTAGTTGGTGCAAGAATTACTACTTGAACAGATGATATCTGAATATCCAACATCTCTAATGCAATTGTCCCAAAAACAGCTGTCTTTCCTGTACCTGATTTCGCACGTATGATGAGATCTATAATGATTTAAAAAATTAATAATATACAGAAGAAAAGAAACAATCAAAGTATAGGTACCAAAACCACAGCGTCCCAAGGGTATAGCTTTCAGCTGTATAGGAGATGGCTTCTGAAAGCCGCAACTGGTCAATCCATCTAAAATAGTCTGTGATAGTCCCATTTGAAAAAAAGTAACATCTTCCAAAACTTTTACATCTTTCGTACGTGCTTTCGTATTTATATCATGTGCCATTAGATGAGGCATTTTTAAAATTATACAGAAAACGTTTACCGGTACGCGAATCACTTAACCTACAATAAATTGATTATTTTTTAGTCATGTAAAAATGGTTAAAAACACACTTTAAAACACATAACTATAGTTATCAATACTTCTAATTGTTTACTTGACTATTTCAAGGGACGTATTAACTAATAGTTGTATTTTTATTATTTTATATGAACTAACTGCTTTATCACATGAACCTTAAACATTCACTCTGAAGTACCTTCATACTTATGATCAACACTCGTTGCTCGCTGCCTGCGAGTTTATATTCTCACAATAAATATATTCTCCATTTAACTGGTTTTTTTTTAAGAAATAATCTGTATACTTCGTTTAATAATATAGTATTAGGTTTGTTGTTGTCTACACTTTCTGCACTTTTCAAAAAGTGCAACTTCCTATTGGATGATATTTTAAAAAATTTCCGATTACGAATGATCAAATAATAATCATCGAACCTTTAAATACTAAAAAGAAAAAACAAACATATAACGTCATATCTCTCACATATACTGAGGGGAGTTCCCCGACATTATGCAAAATCTTTTTTATTTTTTTCTGCTACTAGATATTCACATATCTTTGGATGTATAAATGTAAGTAAGCATAACCATTATCATCTGGCTTACTTCAAATTCCAGTCAGTACCAATTGTGAAGTGCAGAGAAATTAATTGTTGCAAATCAAGAATATTGAAATCTGTTGCTGTTTCACCATTTGGGTGAAAATCTGCAATGATTCTAAAAGGACTAATATTTCTATTAATTTTAAATTTATCAAGAGCAGGTCAGAATTTCGAATAAGAATTGTTGAGATTTCTATGCAGATGTTCTGTCACATTAATTAAATATTTATATACATTTTCAGCTGAAAACAGTAGCTGTCCAAATATAATTTCTCGTTCTGAATGGGGAGCGAGAGAACCAAAGAAAATTAATTATCTTATAATTCCTGTTCTCAACGTTATAATACATCACACAGTTACAGAACAATGTAATACAATTGCCGATTGTTCTTCGATTGCACGAAGTATACAGTCATCTCAAATGGACAATCTTGGTTGGGACGACATTGGAATCTCGTAAGAACTATGCAAATCTACAGCAACATACGTATAAGTCGAATAATGCCAATATCATTAGAACTTTAATTTTTATGAATTTATTCATATATTGCTACAGGTTTTTAATTGGAAGCGATGGAAACGTATATGAAGGTAGTGGATGGTATCAGGAAGGAGCGCATACATATGGCTATAACAAAAAATCCATAGGAGTTTTCTTAGTAGGATCATTTCAAGGTAAGTGAAGTAACATGAAGTATTAACATTTTTAATGATAAAACATTCATTGATTTTCCTTGCTTTCGTTTTAGACCAGGAACCAAGTCAACAAATGATCGACACGGCACATAAATTGATTCGTTGTGGTAAATCTCTCGGGTTTTTGCGAAGAAGTGTCCGGGTAATTGCGGCTCGTCAAGTTTCATCTACGTTGAGTCCAGGACAAAAAGTTTTCAATAAAATTCGCAACTGGCCTGAGTGGGTTTCCAATCCGTAGATGAAGCACAATTATTTCGATGCTTTATTGATAAATGAAGCATGAACAGTACTTTTTTTTACAGTGATAAAAAAAAAGCATTATTAATAATTATAAAATTATTATAAAACTTTGTTATTGTAATTGGAAGTGAATTTCAGATTATATATTTGATTTAAAAAAAATTCAGCAGGAATTTTTATTCTGTAAAAAGAAAAGATCACGAAGTAGATTTGAAGTTGCGAGCAAACATACGTAATGCGATAATGTCAAATATTTATTTTCCTAATGGAATATTCTGGAATAACATTGGACAGTTTTACATAAATATTCTTAGCTTCGTTTTATTTCCTCTCATGCTTTTACCACTTTTATATACAAATGTACTAACAATAAGCTCATGTAAAGATGCGACGTGCAAGTGGCTTAACGTTATAACAAACTGAGGTCCTGTGAACTACAGCAAGACAACATAAAATAAAAACAAAAATAAACTAGAATGAATGATATCGATTGAAATCTATTTATCTACCATTCATCTTAAGAAAATTTTGAGAAAGAACAAAAACGGAGTCACTGCACACATTTTGGAATGTTAGACAAAAAATTGAAAAAAAAAAATATATGAAAGTAGATAGGAAAATTGGGAATTCGATGAACATTACAATAAGAAAATCTTCAACAGTCTTGCACAATTAAATGAAAAACCGACACTCTGTGAGATTAACATAACAGGTAAAACGAAATCGGAAGGAAAACTGAAAAAAACAAAGAAAACGCAGTACACAAAGCCGCGTACATTTATATATGCAATATTATGCCATTTACGTTTTCTAATATAAACTTTATATAGATATATCGTAGAGCAAAGAGTATTTTCTTTGGTTGCATAGGGTTTCTTTGGTTTCATTAGCTTAATTTCCCAAATTTTTTTTCGAATTTTTTATCTTCATTCCCAGTTTGGTTTCTTCTGTTAAAAACATTGTTGGAGCTATACTGGTACACTATGATCTCCTCTCTTGTTACCTGCATATATCTTTTTTACCCTTTTTCAAAGGAAAAAAGAAACCTCATTACTTTTCACATCATTTTACGATACTTCTTCACGATGATTTATTTTATTACCGATTATCGTTGCGATCACATCTTACATCCTGGTAACTGCTTAGCTGCTACTGTAATCTTTCATTCGGCACTAGGATTTTCTGGCCATTGCAATGCCCAGACCAAGAATACTGGCTATGCCAATAATTACCCCACTTGCCATTGCGATGCCTACAAGACTATCTGTAAAATATTAATCAAAACAGAAACCATAATTAAAGATTCCACTTATTTCACTGGAAAATAGAAGAATTACCTTTCTCCATTTTCTTTGTGATCAGAGTCTCAAGATGCAGAACTTGCTGATTACCTGGTTCAATTTGCAAAAATGATCTTACATAGCTGAGAGCTTTTGAGAATTCCTGTAATAATAAATATTGTATAAAAAAAATTAAGATACTTCTCTATTTATCTTTCACTTTCATTTAATTACTTTTAGTCGTGCATTCCCAATTGCAAGATAATATAAGCAATCACGCCTTTCGTTGTCTCCATGATTATTGTAAAGGTCTTCCAACAATATAATCCCTTTCCGGATATCTGCAGGATATTTGCTACGTACGAGGCACCAGGCATATTCAAACTGGACCTTTTGTGTTACATTTCCAGTCTGTAATTGTTCATGATAGGTTCGCTCGAATTTCTAAAAAAAATATAAACAAAATATTTCTAACAATCATTCTTTACAAAAAAGTAGCTAATTCCAATATTAGCAAGAAGCTGCAATATATAAAACTTGTTAGTGACTGATTATCAGAAAATTAATAATAATGACTGAAGTTCTAAAAATCATTGTCAAAAAAACTATCATTATATGAAAAATAAGAAATTGAAAAAAAACTTCAAAAACATAAATGATATAATCCGGGTCCAAAGTATACTGTATTATGAGTAATGACGAGCTACCGTCGTAATCTGTCAAGGAAAACCTGACTCAATAGAATCGACTAACCTCAAATTTGCCGCATGAACGGTAAAACAAATTTAAAAAGAATCTTTAATAGGCAGTATATATTTAAAGAACCTCGATATTAAATATCATTTAAAAAGTTGATAAATACACAACACACACCATTAAATCTTCAGTAGAGACGACCTCATCCAAAACGTCATCCATGATTCCAAGATTAGTTTTCGTTCTTCCCAAATAATTCTCTTATTTCTCGTGATTCAGAAGTCGTGTGAACTCCTTTAATTGACAAAAAAATACAGAAATTTTTTCGATTTTGCAGTTTCGTGATTCAACAACGCAACTATACTACCCAACACTACCGTTCTTTATTAATAAATCGAAAAATTGCCAGGTGCAATCTCACGAGCAGATGGCACTTAAGTAATATCCGGTGTTGCCAGCTCAACGACAAACGCCGTCTTAATTAGCAATTTTTAAATTACGTGCAAAATACTAATTTTTCTACTGCAATCATACAGAAATTTATTATGCACAACTTCGGATCACGAATTTCTTCCATCGAAGTTACAGTAATTGTAAAAAGTACTTACAACTGATGACGAAAAACATCTTACCAGATTTGGTCTCATATCAGCTTGAGTCAAAGACCAAGTTAATAGCGAGAGAGCCACGAAATTCTCTACATCGATTTACTTATTGAATTGCAAAGCTTACGAATGCACCGAAAGATAGTTCCGATCACTACTAAACAAAATAATAATGAACGGTACATAAATTATGCATGCAAAATGTTAATTATAATTCGTTATACTCGCAGCCATCGAAAATTGATGTTTACGTCATAAATCAACAGCAGGGTAGACTTAGATCAAGCACTTCAGGATTTTCGAAGTATCAAAGATTACAAACAAGCTTGTAAAAGAAACATTGAGATATTGATTTCTGAAAGTTAACATAGATTTCTAAACTTCGTGTTTTAGCCATAACTTAAGAACCGAGAATTCTACAACACTGTGCAATTTATAAAGTACGAAAGTATACATTATCCAATAATATTCCCAATCCTTGTAAGTTTTAACAATAAACAAAATGAAGTGTAGCTTGTGAGCCGAGAAGTAGGTCATAATCTAACTGACATTCGCAAAGCGATTTTCTTCATCACCTTTTTATTACTAACTCTTTATATATTTCATATATACATCATACATTTAAATTGTTATTACAATGTAATTCGTGTAGCAAGTCTAATTGGATGTTCATTAATTTGTATAATTCTCTTTATCACTTTTGGATTCGTATATACAGATTCGATTAATATCAATTAGATACATATGTAAATATACATATAGACATACGACAATCTAGCGCATTGGTATATGTATAAATAGATAAATACATGTATATATACCACAATGAGATACATATACCTTACAATAACTAGTGTCCATGTACAGTTAATGAATATCATAGTACATACATTAATTGGGATTAAATATTCCAGGAATATTCCATTCCTTGTATAATTGTTATCTACACCTAATGGAAAAAGTAGATCTGATCTTACATTGCGTTTTAATAAAATGAAAAAATAAAATATTTGTAACTGCGTTGTGAAGAAATTTGTTTATCCTTTTCCCAGTATACTGATTCTTATTCATTTGTTTTTCACTATGTTTCTCGTTTGGCAAAGTTTTGAAACTCCCGATTAACGGAACGTCTGCGCGAACGTAATTCCTTATTTTTGGGCACAAGTTTATCCACCCTTTTACAATGACGTTAACAATTAGAACATGTCCACCGTCTAAGAGCTTCGACTTTTGCATGAGCTAAAGATATAGCCATGGTGTGCATCAGACACAACTGTTCCTTACTCGAATATACAAAGTTAATTAATTTATAAATGAATTCGGTTACGATTGCTCTTGTACATTGATAAATTATGATTAAACAATACGCTGCCTGTACTATAGCTATCGTACAATGTAATCTGGACATTTGTTCCAACCTGAAGAACTCTGGCAGATGGATCTACTTTCAAGCGTCCGATTTGCCAAATTCCTTTGTCTCTCAATTCTCAAAAATCAAATATTCCTTCGCGATTCGTTATTATCCTTTCATCACCGCTCATCACAGCAACTTTTCAGCATTGTGACTTACCCGTGGAAATTATACTATTCACTTCAGTTAAAAATAAAAACTAAAAATAACCACAGGAAAAAGTTAAGACAATGAAAGAAATATAGTGATATAAGGATATTGGCGTTGGCATCGGAGAGGGGCATTCTCACATAATTCATTACTAAGAGCAATAAAAAAAAAAGTAAGAAAAAAAACTCACCCAGAATGGCAAATAATACCAGATACCGAAAATAAAAGTCATCATTATGAGACTAGAAGTCGTTTTCGCTATTACAATTGTGATGAGTGTCGAGATGATTTCAAGTGATCGATTACCCATGTCTTCGAATAATTGTAATTCTTATTTTGGACCCACTTACGGAATCTTAATTAAACAAAACCGAATTGGGATCCTCATTGTCAAGCTGCTTCACGTGTCTCAGAACGTCCTTTTTTGTGATAACACCAAGAAGACGCCTGAAGATAGACATTAGATTTGGTTAATAATTTTTTCTGTTTATGAAGCAATAAAAAATATTCTCTTAAAGTCTAAACGTACCCATTATGCGTAACAAGTGTTTGTCGTAAGCCCAGTTTTCTGAACATATCTACAACAGTCTCCATGGGCGTTTGATCAGTTATGGTTATGGGTGCCATATCGAGAATCTTCTTGAGCTTAAGTGGTGGAGGTCCATGAGTCTGAACATTGTTTCCGTTAGTAAAAATAATAAGTGATTGTCCACTGATGCCTTCCATCATTCGTTTGGCATTAGCGATAGCCAGATTAAGATCTCGTCTTAAGACAAAACCAACGAGGTATTGCGACTCTCTGGAAACTATCACAGGGAAGCCATTATGCTCTGTTTCCTTAAGGAGAGTGTCCACATCGTCAACTGTCATAGAGTCCTGCGTGAGCACGTGGAGAGCTTCGTTACGTCTGTAAAAAAAAAATACATTAAATTCCTTAAAACAATTTCTATATTAAAAAATCCATAGTGATAAAACCATAATCCAATGTGAGTTCAACTGACATGGATAGCAAGAATGACAAATTGAAAAACTACAAGAAACCAATGTTGCTCAGTGGGCATGATACATACTTGGGCTGCATAACGTCAGCTGCAAGAGTTGTATGCTGGAACTCATCTTTACTGTCCAAGAAGGGATAGCCGTTGAGACCGATGTGTGCATCGTAGATTCCCTGTTTCCCAAGGGCGTCGCCGACCCACTTGCTAGCCATAGCAGCGGCCATAAGGGGTACGATGTATCTGACACCACCGGTGAGTTCGAACATGATGACAACGAGGGACACAGTCATTCTCGTGACACCACCGAGCACAGCAGCAGCACCGACCATCGCGTATAAACCTGGAGTGATACAGTCCACTCCGGTGGAGCATTCCTCGCTGAACATCCAGATGTGTGGATAATTGTATGCTAATTGTTCCATTCCGATACCGACGATGCGACCCATAATCGCACCCAGACATAAGGACGGTATGAATAAACCGCAGGGCACTTTCATGCCGAAGGTGAAGATGGTCATTATTAGTTTCAATATAAGCGCCAAAACCAGGAGCCATACTGCCTTATAAACTCCGGGCTCGGCAGCTGCAATTTCTATAGCTGAATTGACGTCCGTGAAATTACGGTTGTAGTCACTGCAGTCGAGAGTGAAATTTAATTAATGAGAATATGCTTTGTCGAGTTAATTAAATTCTCGGCATAAGTATATGTACCATAAAATGTCAGCGTTAGACACTCCGCACTGACTGAAGAGTAAGTAGATCAATTGACTTGTGTTCATCCTCGTGTAAGGATTTGGATAAGATATAATAGCTGTGGCAACTGTTACTACAAGAACCTCGGTTACTGGATACTGGCCAAGTTTTGAAGTTTTACGGTAACGACACCAATATAAATTAGCTTTAATAAATATGGTCGCGATTACGCCCTATTAAAAAAAAAAGGATAATCATATCAGTACCTATGAATTACTATTAGTTTATTTGGATTACTGTGAAACTATCTTACACCCATTATGCCCAGCATTACAAACGGCACCAGCTCGAAGAATATCCAAGGTTTGTTATACTCTACGTAGAACAGTACTGAGTGTTCGTTACCAAAGGGATTGATAGATCTTAGTACAAAAGCAGCGATCAGCGCACAGAAAAATGATCTCCACAGAGTCTTCAGCGGAAAGTAATAACTAACCTATGAATGGAAAGAGCATAAGGACGATGAATTGTGCAAAAAAATGTGTCGAGTTAAACATAAATATAAATTCATATTTACCTCCTCCAAGCTGAATAGCACTCCGCCGATCGGAGCACCGAAAGCAACAGATACACCAGCTGCAGCGGCCGCCGATAATATCTCACGTTTTTTGGCCTCATTACGGCCATATTTTGGAAATAGATATGAAAATATGTTTCCAATGCAACAAGCTATGTGTACCATAGGACCTTCCTTGCCAAGATTCAGACCAGACGAGACGGAGAGTATTAAGCCGACAGACTTGATGATCAGGGTCCACTTACCCAGATACCCACGTATAATAAATCCGCTGAGTATAGTTTTAATCTGTTTTAATTAATTAAAGCATAAATGAAAATATAATGTCTTTTAAGGTAAGGTGTATTGACAATCGTACGAACCTCAGGTATACCGGAACCACAAGCATATGGCGCGAACATCCTGACTAAGGATGCAGAAAGCGATGCGAACAATAAAGCCCACGCTGTGTAAAACAGGTAGGAAATTATGTAAGGTCCTGCTCCGTCCTTAGACTGTTTAAAGACCTCTGGCCAGGATTTCCACTGAGAGAAAAAAAATATTCACGACATGAAGGGGAAATCTACAAATGTTTTCAATTCCTTGGATCACATCTTACTCACTACTAACCTGAGTGCAGTTTCCACCATCAAAAGTCGTCTCATTATAACTCCAACAGCATTGTTCCTTATTGAGCCAAAATGCTTGAGGACATATTCCAAACTTCAAGTCCGTCATCCACGAAGCCCCAATGTCTATAACACCAGCAGCAACGCCTGTGAAGAGACCCACCAACAGGACGCAAAGCCATCCTGACCAAGCATCGTGAGCACCCTTGATCAGATCCCAAATGGAGTCATGCTTCTTCTTGACTATATAACGATGTCTCATACGATCCCGGGCTATATCGCGCTGCCAGTCTATAGTGTGGAAATCCTCATATTGGCCAATGCCGGGGATATCCTCTGAGTCTCCCGAGACTGTGTAAATAAACCAAACAATCATTAGCAATAATAATAACCTGTATTGGACTTCAGGCTTTACCAAGCACATTGATAACCGAAATAAACTGGCGTAAACCAAATAAACTGAAATACATCAGAAAGAGTTTAATTGTCCGATAATAACATTTTTCGTGTTCATTTTAAAAGTAAATCAAACCAAACGTTCTTGATATAAAATAGGAAAAAATTATTACGACTGAACGATCAAGAAGAATTGTCTATATGATATCAATAATTGTGTATTTTTTTAGGGAAACAAATTTTATTTCTAAAGGATATACGGTACGGTTAAACCTGTACATTGGGTGAATGTACGCAGCGTGCATAGGACGTATTAATTAAATTAATTAATCGTTAGGTTTATGTGCTTCGATGACTCACGTGTATACAAAACCTCATAGCATTGTTGGACGACATTTGATTTGGCAGTGACGTCCGATGCATACTTAATTATACTACTATTGAAAATCTATTAAGTAGGCAAACTTACCCTGGAGTCCCGAAAAAGTAACCCCACCTTAAAACAGAGGAAATACACATATTCTCTAAATAAATGTATCATAAAAAGAACTAAGTAGTTCACTGTATATAGAGGATGGCGCTAACATTCCCAATTTGTAGCGTTAAGGCTATAATACGTAAATGCCCTGAGATATGAGAGCTGAGTATACGATCATCGAAGCACTTGGATAGTATAATTTTATTAGAACAAATAGACTTACAATGCGATGAAGCATCATCCAGGCGTACGCTCCTCTCCAGGAAGGCATTATTTCCAGCTGTATGGGAAGCAGTTGTATGGTGATTTACGTCCAACATGTCTTCGTCGCTACTAAGACTTCCAGTGCAATTAGTGACAGTACTCCGGAGTCTGGCATCACCAGTATTACTGTCTACGCCATTTCCATTCTGTGCAACGTTAATTGTACTCCATTAGATTCACTCACTCCAGAGGTACTCCAAATGATTATCTTTGTCATCATTAAAAGGCAAGATCATTGGACTCAGATTTAAATTATCGCTGTTGTTGGAATCGTTTAAGAACTTGACAATATTCTTGATATAAAAAGTTCATGATTCACGTTTTTATGAAGCATTGCAGATACAGTTGTTAACTATTGTTAATACCCTTTGATGAGATTATTCAGATGTCATCAATATTATCCATTTTCAACTGTGACACGCCACCATGTACATATACTTCATCAGGTCAGTCATGACTCAAAAGGTAATAGGATACTGTTCCTTGTGGAATTTGATGAATTATCATTTTTGCTAATGAAAATAATGACACACATTCACAATGCTACATCTACAAAGAGTAAATTGAAACGTGCTCAAAATGTGCAAAATAACAAAGAAAACATGAATAAAATATTAACCAAATTGATAAAATAGCGATATGTGAGATCCATAAGATGCTATGTTAGATATATTTCAATAATTAGTTATATGACCAAATTATTGTTGAAATGACCACCATAAATGTAGTTCATGTAACCTTGTATGCTTAAATTTTAACTTTGACAATGTAGCTAAAACATTTCTTGTAACCCACAGCACTTTTGATCTCGAGTTCCTTAATCCAATACAGGGACCAGGATGAGGCAATGGAAAATTTGTGGCACTTTGACACCCAGGGAGGAGATGATGACCTACCAAATAGAACTTGAGAATCCCAATGGGAGGCATATAATGATTAGAAGTGATGGATTCATTGGCGATGCCTACCTTGGCATCTACTGAATGATATGTTGTTAATGTGCTTGAGAGCGCAGGATGACTTGAGGCAGTTGACGTGGAAGTACCCTTCAGTGGAAACTTCTCCATGGCACTCGTTTGACCTGCTCTCACATACAGGTGACACATGTACAATTAGGATTCAAAGGAACATCGAGGATCATTTTAAATAGTTTTCATCTGAACAACAAGCATCAAATTACACCCTTTCATTTAGTACCTCATTGAATTAGTTATAATTGGCTGTTAAAATATAAGCATTTCAACATTGTTAATTCATGTCTGATCATATAATATATTAGTGTTATAAATATTCTTTCTATCAGCACTATTTGTATACAAAATAATTTGTGTATATATTCTAATCATAAAAGGTCTATGCTTATTTAGACTGAGCAGTCGTTAGTATTGTTAAACAAATGAAACATCAACTATACTATACCTATAGAAAGGTAGATTAATGATTCAGATTATCAGCTTAAATATGATACTTATTTCATAATTGAGATTACATATACTATAGTATATAACGTATGAAAATAGTAAAAAAGCAAACAAAATCTATGAATCAGCCATTTCTGTTATCAGAAGTATGATCGACGTCAATTATCAAAAGAACTTACTAAGATTGGATCTTAATCCACCTATTGTAGTTCTGCCTTTTATTTTATTACTTTTTTCTATATCCATTTTTCTAATCACTTTAAATCACATTGCATCTATAATGAAGTACTTTTAGAAGTATTTTAAAAGACTTAAGCCCATTTTGTTCAATGCGGTTCAATGCATAAACTCCGTCTATCATCAAAATACAAGTATCTGTTTAGCTTCTAGCACAGTTAAACTGAGAATGGTAATAAATAATGAACGATGTTGGTAGAATCGGGGATTAGAGCTGACGATATCAACATAAAATATGTCATTAAGCAGCTTAGAATTGACAAATTATCTTATCTGACGGACTGAATATTAGCTCAGACTGTATTTCTTAATAATATTCACCATTCAGAATTCATGTTGCAATTAGTATTAGATCGAAGATAAACCGTTTAACTCTTATTCTAACCTAGTGTCAACAAGCTCATGAAAATTATCTTAAGATAAAAAATATAGCTAAAGACAAAAGAAGCTTCCAAAGAAAAAAAACCTGTTACAATTAAAGAACAGAAAGCCATGAAAATGCGGTAAAAAGAAAGCTTTAAACACAAAAAAAATCAGTGTCTTACAAAGTATCCTTTCAATATAGGGGGGATTCTAAAGCTCACTGCCAGTAATTTTTATATCTCTGTTTACCCACATGCAATTGAGTGAGACATAACTATACCGCATAGTGACATGATACATAACCTGCAAAAAGTTTATTACAAAGAAACTCGAGAAAGAAAGGTACAGCACCACAGTTAACCATTCAACATGCTTAGTTCCCAAACCCAATGACTTCCATCGTTCGAAGACAGGTGACAATTCATCATCGAATAATGGTGGTGGAGATTATACGTGACCAGAAAACTCACCATTTTCCTCTGTAAGAGATGCTCGTTTTATTAGATCTTTTTGAGTACTTCCGCCCCCCAAGAGAAACTCACTTCACTCTATCACTCCCTCACTTCTACTATCTTTCACCAAGCCGTGCAATGTCGCCGATCAAACAAGGCCCATGGCGATCGTATCCAATTCCCGTTGAAGGTGCTCGTGAGAAAGCGCACCGAAGTGCCAGAGAAGGATGCTTTTTTACGTTCTATTACTGTTTCTCTGTCCAGACACTAAACTAGGAATTGGTTTCGGTTGAACATACCCGTCTCGTACTAAACGACGTGCCGCGCTGATCATGTGACAGCTTTGAACTCCGTGATGTGTTGCTTTCCGTAATTTTCACTATGCAGCCAGTGTGCGCGCACCCTGAACGTGTATGACCATGTATGATGAATGGAGCCTAGACCACGGTCTTACAGACAGGTCTTGCAACGAACGTGGTGGGGGTAGTACCGCTTAGTGTCCAAATTCGCTAACTCCGATTTACGACACAAGGTTGCGCCACACGTACAGGGGTATGCGACAAAGATGGATGATAGCTTGTGCATCATAGCTTATGTTACGTGAGGGGCAAAGGGGAGGGCACCTCTGTACTAGTGGCGCCGCGCTGAAGAACTAAAAAACTTGGACTGTAAGAGGGACTACCCCCACCACTAAAAATTGGTCTCGTTGCAAAACCTGTCTGTAAGACCGTGGCCTAGACAGGAGGAGACCAAACTTCAATTAGAGATGAGTAGGGAGATGCACAACGCTCCGGTTTTAGGCGATACCAAAAGCATGGCGCTAAATCGTAGTGGCGAGTCCGGGAGTAGGATTTCGTGATCATCGCCTCTGTCGATGTTACAGGTTTCGCGTAGCCGCGCGGGTCATGATCATCGTTCCAGCCGATATTGCAGTCAGCGATATGCAAAATAAACTTATATTTTCAATACAACGTTCCATGTTCATACATCATTTATTAACTTATAAATAATGTGAGGAATTTGAGCCTGAATCTGGAAGCTAAAACAGAAGAATATTCCAGGTAATGTTGAGGCACAAAGTTGATTAACAATTTCAATAGGGTAAGCATCGACATTTGTTCATATATACTTTTCAACTGCGTAACATTACTTTTTCATAGCATCTTTCTCCTCTACTTGCTTTGCTTCCTACCATTTCTCCTGAGCAGCAAACCATTTCATCTCGCTCATGGAGGATAGATATCGACAACGGGAGTGTCGTCCGGATTGTTCATGTCTAAACGACAACTACAAAAATAATAATGAAATTGTGATTGTAATCGTAATACTTTATTAAAATTAATATGAACGTTGCTAACCTTCAAAGTAACTATTGGATTTCGTGGCCGGCGCCGAGAATATATAATGATATAGCCAATCTCCGTGTATATACAGGGTGTTCGTTATGAAACGCTCTGTAATAACATCGTTGCATTCCTTGTCAAATTCTAAAGAATACGTGTATTTTCATTTTTTATTTCATATATCAAAATTTCGATATAATCAAGGTTGAAATTGCAGTAATGCGACCAATCAGAACGTGTTTAAAGGGAGCGTAGATGACGTCAAGGAATGTAACAGTGTTACTACAGTGCGTTTCATAACGAATACCCTGTACAAATATATATACATACGTATATTTTTATATACAACAGAGATATGCATGCCTTGCTCGACAAAAGTACTGTTGCAAGCGCCGCAGGCGGCATTATCGGGAAACCCTACTGGAACCGTATTTTTGTCCCAGTATTGGTTATAAGCTACAACGTGATGAGGATAGGGAAGTGCTCAGACCTGAAGGTCGATTATGTAACTCAAATGTAGTGAAAATACGAAAAGTGAGTAGCTGTTAGCCAATCGCGTGTTAGGTTCAAAAGAAGACAAGCACAGCGATTGGCTAACAGCTATTCACTTTTCGTATTTTCACTACATTTAAGATACACAATCCACCCTCTGTATACAAGACCGTGCTCACAACGCTCACGACCTTCCTTCCTTCTTTTCCTTATGGCTGACTCTTCCAATGAGGAGATGTGCCAGAACGCTCACGACCAGTGACGGATCAAATGATACACCACGGCCAAGATAGTACAAAGAGGGTCAAATATTATGGGATTTTGTGTCTGGTAGTTGGAGGTAAAAGAAGCGCGCACAATAACCGACATCTTGGTTGTAACGGTAATTATATTTCTGTTATGAAACACACACAGATGGTTGAAACTTACCAGTGGAATATACAGTCCAACAGAAAGCGCAATGAATGTAACAAAAGAAAGAAACTAATAATATTCTGAAAGTACATATTTGAAAATTTATATTATAAATTATATTCATATTACATTAGGGATCTGGAGTTCTAATAAAAGTATTTACTTTAAATATATAGATTGTCAATACGACAACTTAAATTATAAAATTGTGCTTAGCTATGAAAAGTATATACTGTAATCATACATACGGTATTAACGCATGTCTGAGGTAGTAAGGGAAAGCAATTGGGATAATTCGTTATGTAAAATTCTGACGTTTAATTTCTTTCTTAAGTGCATACATGAAATACTTTCACTAGCATTCATTCGTCATACAATTCAATAAAAAATCATCATCATTATGATTACATATATGAATAACATTTTGACAATATTATTTAAACATTAAAAATGTAAAACAATTACTCGCTCTCTGACAATAAAGTAAAGCACCTAGGACAATAAAGTGAAAAATCAAAAATGGTGACAGTATAAAGGATTAAGAAAAAAAATTCTAATCTAATTAACAAACTGCAATTATTATAACAGACAAAAAGCCTAATTGCAAATTAAAAAGAGATTTAAATATATCTCTTGATCTCGACTTTATAACGAACTCACTGAATCTTTCAACTTTTTTTTCGAATTTCAAATATACGTCATCAATTTTGGTAATATTCATTTTTATTTCCTGATTTTTTTTTAAATTTCTTCCTTCACTTTTTGAGAATTGATCCAAGAAATATGAAAATACCATTTCAAATATTTTTCTCTCCACAGGCGATCAATCTCTATATACTCGCGCACGGACCAGCCATGGGAATTTGTCCATTAAAATTCGAATCAATTATATTAATTAAAACATTAATTATACTCTCAATTGCAAAATATGAACACAACGAACGAATATATATCGAGCACTATGAGGACTTATATAAAATCCTATTATCTGACGATGTATATATAAGTAAACTAACGGTAAATAACTAATACACCAGAATCTTTTTTTTCAGAAGTATTAAACGCACTGCCGAACGCTTAAGAATCTCTTTCGATGAAAAAGATCATCAATTTTGGAAAAAATGTTTTACCTTTCCATAATTTTCGTTATTGTACCATTTGAATTCCACAAATAAATCGATTCATAAATTATCTCAATAACTACTCCTCGGTTCCGACATAATAATTTTACTTTTGTTCTAAAATCTTCAAACAACAACAAACGCGCAGGTGTGCGAAATTTTATCTAATTTCTTAATTCGTTTTTCTTCTTTTACTTATATGGTAAAAGAATGTAAGTTTCGCTCTGCTAACCGTAAAGTTACTAAGCTTAATAATTTGCGTCGATATCAAGAGAACTTATATACATTTCACTCTGTTATTTCATTTTTTTTTATAAAATATGTCTATATATACAGGCATATTTTATAAAAGACGACAACGTAATGGCTACCGTTTACGATATTATAAAATAAGTCTCCACAGGGTTAATACCCATAATTCTCTTTAAGCTCGTAAATACGATTATTCGTTTTCAGGAGAATTAGGAAAATGTTTTTAATTATTCTATATAACGATAGGAAGTAAGTGCAAATCGACGATTCTTTTTAATAATTAAGTCGGTGGTTTTTTCGTCGATTTGCATACTACCTAGAGATCCTGCTACCTCAACCAATGTAGGAAATACATATGGTTCAGACTTCGACATTCAAGAGGTATCTTATAACAATTTCAGTTCTTTAAGGTCTTCTGTTCTTCAGTCAAATACACAAGCTAAAACTCTCACCAAACAGTCTCCGATACGTGCACATGCTTTTTGTCCTTGGCTGGCACACTCTTTTCGTCTGTTACGTTTATTTTCCTCACGTTCCTTTTTTCCAGGTTTGGAGGTTTTCCATTTGGTGATACCAGAAAGATTTGTGCCAGCTCTTGGTACACTTGAGATCCTAGATAATGGACCATTGACTGGAATTTTTTCTTCGGTGTGACCAAGAATTCTACCCACAAGAAATGCTGACTCTTCGCTGGTTAGGATTCCACTTGCCATAGGGCCTTCAATGAACTCTCTATCATTCATAAGAGGGTATCGAACACTGTACCAGACCTCTTCAGGTAACGAAGCTCTCTTATTAAATGCTGTTGGGTCTAATCCACGCCTTCGACATTCTGATGCTGCCCATCTTTCCAGGGCTGCGAAGAGAGTGCCCTCATGTGCTAATCGAAGACTGTCTCTACATGCTAAATCAGCTACTTCTTTGGAACTGAGATCTTCAAAGCACTCCTGACACAAGACTGTTGCAGGATCAGAGTCTATGATGGATATACATGCTGATAGGAGTCCAGAACAGGCTTCAGCTGAAACCAGACAATGAAATTGTAAGACTTTAGACTCATGTTAAATTCCTAACCAGTCACAATAGCGATATTGGATATACGTATAGGGTGAGATATTGTTCAATATTTGTTAGTGACTAATTAGTTGCCCTATGACTATACTGATAGAACGATAAGATCGGTACCTTCATGATTAATCTATCATTCATTACACATAACTAATACACAATGAATAAAATAAATATGTTAATGAATAAATCACAGATTCGATATTCATAACTTACCAATTTCACCGACATCGTCCCCAGGTGCAGGTGGCGCGGTAGGCGTTCCAGGAGGTTTCACCGTTTCAAGATTTCCTGCATATAGTCCGAGTCCTTGATAGACTTCAAGGACAGTTGAAGAGTCCAAATTAGCCTCCAAGAATTTGACAGAAAGTCGAGCAAGTTCAGGGCATAAGTATTGATGTGCCGCATCCAGGGTAGCCCTAGCAGTAGTTACGGATTGAAAATTCACCGGCTCATCATGTAGGTATCTAAAAATGAGATAAAATAGAACGTCCAAGGTCAATAGGTATCTCAAATTTCATATTGGCACTCAAGTCAGTACAGGTGCAACGGCGGAATGGGCCTCGTGACGCCTTTGACCCTTATGAGAATTTCCATTAACGATAATGGATAACGCAACGATTGATAAAAAGATCCACAGATACGCGATCACGCCAAGTACAGCGACGTTCATTAATTTCTCAAACCCGTCAGAATCACACGGCATGATTCTAAGCACGCGGAAAGATTTGGTTCCAGGAAAAAAAAGCATGTTGCACTCTGAACTGCAATGTGGATGAGAGTTTCGACGTGCACTGTTCACTACGATCTAATACAATGCTCATTGATACCTTTGAATCTCAGAAGTTTAATATGAATGAATAATGAGGACGGATTTTACTACGTCGCAATTTTCATTCTATAATTCTACTTGGATTTAAAATACCTGGACCTGCCTGAAGTACCTCCTTAAGAACTTCACGACCAGGAACTACCCTGCCTCCCACTCAATAACTAAAAAAGAACCAGTGACCTACCTCAACAAATGATCAAAGGCCCGTTTCTCAATATGCTGAAGTTTAACTGTTGGTGGGGGATCAGTGGGAGCCGGTGAGAGCGGGCCTAGAAGCATGGCCCGAAACCACTCCGATCTTTGGGCGAGTCGCTGTCTTTCGATGCGGTACCTCCAGGTATCACCAGGTATACCGACCTTTGTTTAACCAAACCAAAAATCTCTCAGTACAGATAAAGAGCGAATAATATATAATTGAGCTTGAGGCGAGATAGATCACCTTATACTATCATACATTTCTTTTATTAATTTTTATTTTAAAAAATGATTGTGCCTGCTATAATCTTTTTTAGGATCAAGATACAAACATACCTCAAGCATCACCATATCAAAAGGATGGCTTCCTGACATCTTTTCCTCGCCCGGTATCAGTGCTACTTGAGACATATCGAAATCTTTGCAGTGATTCTTAGGTATGATGAGCCTGGGTCTAGGATGATTCCTATATCGCAGACCCTCGCGGATCTTGTCCTTATCCCGTGCTCGTTCCAACTCAGTGCGAGGGCATTGCAAGCTGTCGCCTATGGATAAGAGAAAGAATAGATATTTAACAAAAAGTATTTTTCCAAAAACTTTCACCCTGATCGAGAATCCATACGACTTTTATTTAAGCAGTGTGTCGGCAATGTATATACATAACTAGCCATACAAGGGTTTGGCAATGTATATAATAGATATAATGTCCATATAATAGATAGCGCTTAGCTGCTTGCTTATTGATTTAATGTGGAGATAAAGTGCCAACACTGCGAGTCGGTACAGGAGTGCCTTTGAATGAAGCATTAATTTTGAAAAATTATTTCTGCACTACCTCTTGCTTATAAATTGCATATTGTCAAGTGTCAATTGACAATTAATACGCGTAAGGTAACGGCAAATAGGTCCTTCACCTTGCATCTTTTGCAATTGTGACATCCTGAGTTGTACATGTTACAATTATTGCGATGAATAAACTGGACCTTGGCGATTAACTGTCTATGTCAAAACGCACCTTATAAATGGTTGGATTAAAAAAGGAAAATTAAATTAAGCAAAACGATTTTCAAAATTCTATAAAACTCATCAATTAACATATAAAGTTAATTGAGCGCGTATTATTTGATTTACTTGAACACTCGCAACGGAACATGATGGCCAAAATATTTCATCCATTTGAATAACAGCAGATAAGTCATTTTGCTAACATTAATCGATAATTAATAATTTTCTTTGGTTCTCAGGGCAAATATTCTCACAGGTGTATCTGGGTCCATATACTGGATGTCTATTGTATGATAAAATTCAATAATCCTTCGGATGTGAATGTATCATGAACTAAGTTATTCCTGATGCCATATGTTGAGATAATTCATTTCTTCAATGTTCCTACAATTTTTTTTCAATATTTTGAGAGATCATTTTAAACCAAAAGTCCTAATCTTTGAATTAATCAAGGGTATGCCAGACGCATGATAATTTTAATTCCTTCAAGACAATCATCCATCACCCCAGCATACAGTAAAGCGCCGGATACATTTTTTTATTTTTGAAAAATCTGCAACCGATAACACGAAATGATCGAAGAGTTTGACAAAGCCTAATTACAGTGACTAATTAGGTTCGGATGGCCGTTTTTGTACGCAACACAGAAGCAAATAATGATGATCACAAGCAAAACAGAAAATAACTAAAGTCTTCGAGCTGTGGTATAAAATTTAAAAAAAAAGATTTTCCTTGGATAATTCTTTCAGAACACTGAAGCAGATCTAACCCTCAAGTAATTATCAACAATGAAATTAAACAAGTTTTACAATAAAATACGCACCATCTATCGTGACAGTCATCGTAGTGCCCTAATTATTTATTATTCGGGTAATCAAGAATTCCAGTTTGAAACTCGACAATGTTCTTGCCCCTGTAAGTCTAAAACGGAGCACCCTACACTTTTGTCACAACGTAAATCTTTTCCTAATAATATTTAAAATGATAATTTTAAATCAAATCATGTATTTCTTTCTTTTTGTTTTTTTATAAATAAAAAATATAATGTATTCAAAACACCGGCAAAGTCTGCTTTTGAATGAGCATATACTGTAACGCGTAGTACTCACTCCCGCGAGTACTCTTCACCGACTGACTGACTAACTGACTGACTGACAAACTGGCTAACACCAACACAAGGAACCCTCGGATCGATTAGACTGACTCCATCCAGTGAGTCAGATTCTCATAGAAATTCTCGTATAAATATTATATGTCGTGTTGCCGGTTTAAAGTTGTGGTTTTATCGCGTGCAATATTACGTTTGTTTATCAATATTGCCAGTAGAAATGCATCTGAGAAGAAGAGTGGCTAAGATTTATTATAGAATAGGGGAGTGTAGACATTCTCAATACATCGAAGCGACGAATGACAAAGGTTGTCAAGCACTTGAAAATTTTTGGTTATTTACAGTTGAAGAAATTTGAGTATCGTTGCTCTAGAAATTTAACCCCCTTTATGGGTTTCTATCTTTATGCAGGATATTCGTCACATTGACAGACCACAGTGTAGACTGTGCTATGATATACTCTGATAGACGTCAATACTCCAAGTAAGAATTATATTTTCGAAAATCACTGGAAACGATTCGTTAAATAAAAGTATAAAATGCTCGTAATGTTATCAAAGGTAAAGAAAGTTATGTATAAAAATCTTATGTAATAACCATAGCGATAACCTATTTTATATTTTACCCTTTGTTCCAGCACGCCTTACGACTAGCCAAACCCCCATATTGGATTTAGTACAGAAATTTTAAAAATGTTAAAAAATAAACAAGTGGAGGGTTCCACGAACGACTGGAGTGTCCTGAAATTTGTTTGGTAACGATTCGAGATTAAATACCTAAACTCCCTCCAAGAGTTACGAGATTTATGATGATAAATATTGTAGCATAGGCAAAGTGCTGGACAGTGCTAATGATCCAGCCAATGAAGAGTCGCCCATCTTTATAATAGGTTGAAGGTGTTAACAACGATTTCTATAAAACCATTGAAAATCTGAAGGCTGGTAGCGCGAGTCGCCTCCAATGATGAAAAAAAGAACGTCCATTTGTTAAATAGATATTTGACCAACTCTGTGCGCAAATTTCAACCAACATGTATACTTTTTACAGACAGCCTGGAAGTTCGATGAGTTGCAAGTGAAGAAAAAGTGAAGAGCAAAATGAGAGAGATGGCTACTAGGGAGCGAACGGCTACTTTACTATAAAATGTTACTTCTAATTTGAGCAAACTCCGTTGAGAATCTTAACGTCGTATGTCCGTTAATTAATGGAGCTGCGTGGTCCGGGGTCATTTAATTCAATTAAAGTTTAATTTACGTCAATTCCCAGGATCCGACCTCTAATCGCTTATACCTATTATGGTACAGGGAATGTATACAATTTGATGCAAACCTTTTGGAGGTTTTTTTTGCAAGTACTACAAGAATAAGGCGTACCAAGTATATTTTTCACTACTTTGACTGTCGACATAGAAGGAAATGTCGTAATTCCGAAAATCTTCGTTTTTATTATAAACTAACCGTATAGGTGTTAATTCTATTTTAAATGTATTGGGATATTTAGTGGTTACGTGTCTCAACATATGAGTCATAGCAGATTCTATAAGTTAAAGGCGGACAACAAGTACACTCATACCGGTACGCATCTTGTTACCGATAAAACGAACAAGAAATATGTATACAATATAAGAAAGGATAAGAATACTCATACATAGCAAAATCTATCACTAAGCAGGTGTGTAGGTGCGTGCGTACTGAAACATAGCTACTAGTACTATAACTATAAACACTGTTACTCTCCGGTTTATGGAAAAATTAATTGTTACAATCGAGGTCGGTGAAATCCGCAAGAGTTTCTGGCAATTCGCAGGACGTGATTCAACACATCCTGCTAATTCTGCAATTGGCTAGAAAATCCGAAATTCTATCTTGTAATTAGTTAATTAATCAATTAAGTAAAGTTACTACTCGAGAATTGCGAAAAGAGTTACATGTACTCTTAATTTTTTCTCCTTATACGTTTCTGCGAAAAAGTTAAGTTTTTTTTACTTTTTTTTTTCTTTACATCTTTACCACACAGTCACCTGGTTGTATTGATTTGGAAATGTATTACTGTCGATGCTTTAGAGAATTTCCTGCTTCACGTATAAAGGCGATCTCCACATTCAGCGATATTTTTATTGTCACGTGTACGACTTTCTGTAATTGTATAATGTTGGTACGTGCGCTGTTGCCGATAGTCAGTCGACTTCTCGTGACGTGGAAGAAGAAAAAAAAGATTATTGACAAAAAGGTGATCTATGAATTTATGTAAAAAAAAAACGGTCCGGAGACATGTCACGTAAGACGCAGTGAACTGGTAAAAACTAAGTACGTTTAACCATGTGATGTATGTCTATATACACACGTATAGGTATATTGAATTGCGACACTTATGGAAAAATTGAAGGATACATAATACAGTAGATTGACATAGAATATTTTTGCTAAGGCAAAGAAGCATAGTGCAATACAAATTTTGTAAGGTTATTCTAATGGGATGAAACTATTGAAAAACGTGAAAGTATCACTCTTCGAGATACATTAGTTTTTATTGAAAAACGAGGGTACTTGGAGATACGTATTTTTTAAAAGTACAGTGTTTGACAGAGGCAAATTCTTTGGTAAAATAATTCTTACAATTTTAATAATAAAATATTTTTACTTTATTTTTCGCGAGGGAAAAGCGATAAAGTATATTCAATTAAAAAGATTGACGTATTCGAAACGCTTGAAACGTGACATTTCTAAATATTCTTTTTTTTCTAACACTGTATATTCTCCAACTAAAAATAGTTTAGGCTTTGACGATAGAGTAAACATCAATACAGTTTATAAGGAAATTAATGGGTGAAAGAAAAAAAAATACAAATCGAATTGGCGAGACGACGTGATCATTCATTGACGATTTCTTGCGATTGGGGTAAACCAGGCATATCGGCTCGCGCGATCTACCCATCCGTGTTGAACGTGACTTTCGTATAATACAACTCGTACTACACATTTAAGTAGTCTGTAAAAATTCGCGTAAAAAGACAGTGGCTAATTCTTGTTAGGATTAAAAAAGAAAAACAAACAACGGAAACAACAGTTGCACGATACAATTGAACGTATACCGTTCCGAGAGGAACATGTATGAAACCAAAAAAAAATGTAAAAAAGGATAAATGAAGAGATTGTCCAAAAATTCTAGTGAGTCATTTTTTTCGTGTTACGATACTCGGCTAATCAAAAACCGTGACCCCGATAGATTAGATTTTCAGCGAAAAAATTGACGAAACTTTCTATGCGGACTAACAAGAAAATAAAAAATTTAATATTCCGTTGTTCTATACCAATAACTTTTTTTTTCGTCAAAAACTAAAAATTTCCTTATATAGCAAGGATAGCAGGTAGTTCTCAGGAAGATTAGTCTTTTTAAGAGACTAACGGAATTATCAGGTACGGACATCGTAACACGAATTTTTATGACACTTGAAAAGTTGTCTTAAGATTGCAAGAAGATCTGAATTAATTGCTAATCCGGGTCTACATTCCTTGGCATATAACCCCGTATTTTCTTTTCATCAAACTTGCCCTTATTTTCTGCATACACGTGTATATATGAAATTCTAAAAAAAAATTTTTCTTTGAAAATATTTTTTTTCTTCCATGCATAATCTCGTATCTTCTCATTACCATATATATATGTACTAGAGTATGTATAATAAATACATATATTGTATGTATATATATCTCAATGCTACTAGGTCTGGGTCAACAGGCCCGTATAATAAGTACACACTCCACATTATTCCCTTCTGTACCCTTGTATACATATAACCGATGCAAGGGTCCACTTCACGGAATACAATGTTTCAATAAAGAAGGCAAAATTGTCCTGGGTAAAATTTTCACGATTTGCCCAATTGAATTAATTGGACTAACAGAATGTAAAACCACCCCTAGTTCCGAAGGACTAAATTAAATCATCATAACAGACAGTTTTAACCGTGATAGTTGGAACCATCAGTACCGATAAACAAAGCGACAGAGTACAAAAACACTTGTCACTCATTATGTAGTAACATAAAAGGTAAATGGTTTAAATATATGCATGAAAATAAATAATAGTAATTTTTGACTATGAATGAAATACGAACGAGGCTTAGCAAGAACCACGAGGATGATCGGGCCCAAAAATGTATTCCCATTGTAATCAGCTCATACGGTATGTCACGTGAAATTCCACATGTCGTGCATATGCATACGTATAAGGTATAGGTTTTGTATATCTGCACAAAAGTACCATGAACTCGGCTAGAAAAAATGGCATTGAAGGAAACTAAAAAGGATGTAAATGGTGCATAAAAAATATTTTTGATAATGTCAATCCGTTAATAAAGCCTTAAACGAGGTAGATACTTTTTTTTTGATATATTTTTTCGGACTGAAGTTGTCACTTGAAATATATTGAAAAAATTCTCTCTTTTTTTGTGTGTGTTTCCACAAGAGGATTTTCAAACCGTCTTTACAATGCATCGATTGTTCTATCGAAATGACCTTATTATCGCCTTCAAGAAAAGACAAGAGCACGGTTAAAGATGCAGAATTTATACAAATGCAGAAAACAATGGGCTGTGACGTGTCTTGGCCAGCCATATATGACAGATGCCTGATACAATGAGATATGTGCGAAAATTATCCTAGTACGGAATTCACGCCTTTGTAAGCATATGTGGACGTACGTGGTATAGCATAGGTTCAAGAATCCTTGGTATTAATGGATCAAGGACTAAGCATTAATTCTATGTAGATCGAATGGTAGTCGGTAAAATGTACGTATAAATATACAAATATGGAATAAATGAAATATGTATTTTTTAGGTGAAATTTTTAGTAGGAATAATAGAAAGTGGTGGTTGTGCAATTTTGAAATTTTCTCACCTCACACATTATTATTTATGTATTAAGTATCGTTAAATCACAATAATATCAACGGAGTTACGAATTTATTAAATAATCGTTGTATCCCTTATTATACGATATGCGTAACACTTGCACTTCCATTCTCATATGGATTACGAATTGATCGACGATTAATAATTCACGGTTATTAATAACGTTTATTCCTATGTACATTACAAGAAAAAAAAATATTCAATTAAATCACCAACTCTGTTCACAGTGGAAAGTTCTTATTGGCAATGAACGAAACTGCCGCAGAAAGTGATACAGTTTTGTCGGTCTGGTAAGACTCACACATCCGTTTGAACGAGCGCTATGTCGAAACGAGTATAGATCTACAATGTGTTTCAGAAATACACAGTGAAAAGGCTTAAAATGACGAGGAACGTAGAATTTTTAAATTTTGAAGACGGCTCAAAATATTTTTCTAATTTCACGAACAATATTTTGGTGCCAGTTGGGTCAGTATTTTTTTTTTTTCGTACATAACAAAACCATAAATTCCGGGGAAGATGTCTGCCGATAAAAAGAAAGGACGAAATAAACGTACGAGAGAAGCCGTGACGGAGACAGAAAGTAGGATAAAAAGAAACAGCAAAAGGAGATAAGAATAGGACAAAAAACTGGAAACAAGAAACGCGTTCCATTTATGAATCAGTCGTTACGTCACGGAAGACGGCGCGAAGACGGTTATTGACTATTTTCTTTTCCTCTTTTTTCCTCATATTTTTTTTGCACGAGACACATCACCCATAAGAAACGTCCTTGATAAAGACGGACGATAGCAATAGCACTGGTGATACGACGGCGGTGGAATTTGAAAATTTTCTCAGAAATTCTGGACGTCGGTGGGCAATGTGGAAAAGTCAGTCTACAATTCGCGATAGAACTAACTAAGGTAATTTTCCAAGTTTGCAATACTGGCACTGTCGTGTATACACGTAACATGCTGAAACGTAGCAGTAATTTGTCACTAGGTATCGCGCCATGTATATATATATATATATACAGACATACATACGTAATAAGTTCGAATAGTTATTCATTTGAAGTAGAAGAAATTGAAAATACTCATAAGTCAATTCAAGTGTATCGACCTGTACAGTGTGTAACGATGAGATTATTGTTATCGTACAATTTCGTGGTTCCTAAAAAAAATGTATTATACAATATACATATATCAATATCCAGGGTTTCATATTTTGACACATAACTAAGCATTTAAAAGTTTTGCCTAATTCGAAAAACACGATCGTACTGATTCAGAGATGTTTTTACTGTCAATCATAGTAAGTCTACGAATTCCTTTTGGACTTTTGACAGATCAAAAACAATGAAATCTCTAGCAACCCACATATGGCTCTTCGTACAATTTTTCTTTACAAATTATGCACGTGCGAGATTTTGCAATAAATTATATTTAATTTTTCTATTTTAATATATATTTCGAAAATTTTATCGAGATCCACGTGTGATTTGTTAAAGATTGAATTGTTTGCGAACTGTCAAAAAAAAATCACGTGGAACTCACAGCCCTGTAGTAACTTTAAGGTTACTTGTTTGACAGCTGTACATGTATGAGTGTCTTATGACATCTTAAACCTTCAAAATGAATGTAATACTGAGACACATGCATATAACTGTTCATGAAACGACCAAAAAGTTGGACTTATCTTAAATCTATTTTTAACATTCGCAATTTTCAACGTACCTAATCCATCTTATCAATTATCTTCGATGTTAGATATGTACATATATATATATATATAAACTAAATCTAATGATTTTACATTAAGTATCGTTCTTATAGATATCCGTATTATCTAATACACCATATGCATATTCGGTGCATAGTAATAAAGAGATTTCTTGGCTGTATAGATTTCCAAGTATTTATATAGCTTATACTCAAATTCTTGTGTTTATTAAACAGATGAATTTCTAAGGACCTTGGTCCGTTGCATAGTAGTACCTTCCTGTATTTAATTAGTCACACTGTGAGTTTCAATTGTGTGTACCGAACGTGCTGTATCGCTAATATTCAGTCTAGGATATTGCGTCTGACCTATCTTTGAGTAAACTGTGATTTGTGAATAGGCACGTGATTAAAGGACCCTTTTTGTTCGAGTAGCTCCAAACTTAGAGACGCTTATGATTTTACCCAAAACAAAATACCAATAATAACCTTACACACACTGACGCTAAGAAAATTAACGAAAAATAAAAAAAACAGTTAGCACCCACATAACTGCACAAGGCAGTTACCACATAGGTAGCATAATAAATTTTGTTATAATTTTTATTCCAACTCATTGTTAACTCGAGTGCTCTAGTTTCCAGTTATACTTTAATAGTGTTAACGCGAAGAACCAGTTTCGATAAGAAATGTTAATTACCGCAAATGATCGACCATTATCAATGTATCATAGTGCAGATAGACCAATATGACATATTAAGCATTGAACGGTAACACATATATCGCACTTGCTGATAACCCGTTACTTAATTCATATTTTTAAAAATACCGTTCAAATATTTATTGTCATTAGTGTTATCAAAAGTTGCTATAAAGAACTCCAAATTTTTTTCTCCAAAAATTCACTATTTTTCACTATCATTCGCTGTCTCACTCTCGTGCTGTGACTCTTGACATTAAAACTGTCATTCAAATACATTCGACCTCACTCAAAGTGCATTCGCGAAATCTACATACGTGCATACGTACATAAATTACATATGATCAATACCTGAGCGAAGCTACAGTCTGATATTACGATCTACAATTTCTATCGTGCTGGTAGCTCGCAGACCAGCCCTTGACTGACGACAACAAGGGTTGGCCAACCCTGATGCGCAAAATCCAAGCTGGTTATAACGGGTGTCTCATAGGATTGCTCAACAGCAGCAACCATCCGCGTGGAAATGACTACCCTAACGTTGCGCGGTTACCGGAACTTGGCATCGATCTGAATATACCAAACAGTACATACGTGCACATAAGTATATTGGCACATACGTGGAGGCCTCTAAAGTGAAATCATAGGAAAACCCCAAAGTAAAGAATCTGCACACAATCATATATGTATACATACATAGACGAATTAGAGAGCTCGACAAAGAAAAGTATAATAATAACAAATCGCAACGACAAGTTCATGGAAATAATTGTACGCGCGAAATGTTATTGTACAAATACGAAGAAAGTATAAATATTAATAAAATTATTTCGAGAACGTGTTTTCCATTTTTTCTGAAAAAAATTAATAATCCAATAGCACAGTACTTGTATACGTCAGCGTCGTATTTCGCGCCCTGTCGCGGAAGTGATACCAATAATAAAATATCGACGAATATCGATCGGCACGTAACACGATCATCGATTCGAACTGCATGACAAGAGTGAATCGATGATTTGCCGAATGATAGATGAAATAACGGACCGCGAGATAAATGATTAATCGTCCTGATGAGTGATGGTGGATACGATAACGGAAGCGGGTCGGGATTGTTGCGTCAATGAAGGATTCGAGTTTTGAATGATCCAGACGTACGATTGGCGAGTGGGGTGAGGAAATTGAATAAAGAGAAGATGGAGGGGTAAGGAAATAAACGGAAGACAAGGACGTGTGAAATTAAAAGAAAAAAAAAAATCGTCATATAACGTTACGAGAGTCTATTTAAGTGTGGAGCATTTGATGGCGGAATTACGCGCTGCCATCTTACGCCTTTATATGACTTTGTATTATTCTACCATCCAAGTAAATATGCTTAGCCCGACTACCGACATGATTAAGGTGCGATTAGGTAGACCTACACTTTTAATCATAGGCATGTGTATATATATATATATATATATATATATATATATATATATATATATTCGAGTGCACATTAAACACTAGCAAACATTTGCTTATTTCGCGGCACGTCTTTTCATTTATTTTTTTTATTTACCACAGTCCTTCCAGTCGGCTTAGTTTAATTTACATTGCTTTTGTCGGACTGTTTTGGTTAATCAGTTGAAAAATATGGAATGATTGAAAAATCTTTCTATTCGGACGATATGAGCGGAGAATATGGTTGAAAAATTTTTTTGAAATTACAATTTTTTATCTCGTATACAATATACGTTACCTTGACTCGGCATCCATTAATCAGCCATATATGCACTTGAAAGATATCAGTACACACTGTGTTAATTATTGTCGGACCGATGAATAATACAATTTTTTTTCGACAAACACGCTTTCGTATTGTTCAATTAACAAGAAAACAGGGCGCCATTCGAGTGCACATTAAACACTAGCAAACATTTGCTTATTTCGCGGCACGTCTTTTCATTTATTTTTTTTATTTACCACAGTCCTTCCAGTCGGCTTAGTTTAATTTACATTGCTTTTGTCGGACTGTTTTGGTTAATCAGTTGAAAAATATGGAATGATTGAAAAATCTTTCTATTCGGACGATATGAGCGGAGAATATGGTTGAAAAATTTTTTTGAAATTACAATTTTTTATCTCGTATACAATATACGTTACCTTGACTCGGCATCCATTAATCAGCCATATATGCACTTGAAAGATATCAGTACACACTGTGTTAATTATTGTCGGACCGATGAATAATACAATTTTTTTTCGACAAACACGCTTTCGTATTGTTCAATTAACACGAAGATATAGACAGTCGTTCAGCGATGGATCATTAAATAAATAAATAAATAATCTTTTGGTATGTTGTTAATATTTATCCTCTTGGCGCTCTATACTCTTGGCATAATATTATACCGGGTGTCGCGTGTAGTTGTAACTTTTATACCTTCCTACTGATAAAAACTACGATACTCATTGGCCGATGAGCGGGCCTGCAATGAACATAATTCGCACTAAGGAAACCATGCTGCAGGGTATCGAAGCTAAACATAGCACGCGCCGCGACGCTGGCGCAGGCGCCGGGCGTCGTGTAGCCCTTTTAATATACCGCTGTACCAATATAGAGATTACGGCTGGGTTTAGCTAAGGAATTCGCAAAATGTCAGTAGCCCATGTGTCGAATACAATATTTGGTACACCCTATATATCAATGGGGATTTATTATACAACTAAGATATACATTACAGAGTAAAAGAATTTTTGAAAAGTCGTCAAGAAATTTTAACGATCTTAATTTTATATGTATTATAATTTAAATCGAATCGCTTAATCGATAATTTATATCGAAATATAATGGTTGTCGATATTACAGATTTTCAGATTAGAATTAGCCATGATTAGACCGGATAGACACGCCTGAAATGGTGCGTACGATTTGCGTTGAATGGCTATGAATGCAAGACTTGAAAATCGTTCGGTGTCGATGCACTTTGATAAATAATTACTACGTGATAAAATGCCATGGGATGTCTAATTGTTGCGGGATGCGTACACGAAGAATGCACGGTAGCTGATAAACTCTTCTAAGAATGTTTAAGATAAGACGTGGTAATAAGGATTCATTTCTATGTTGCAGTTATGTCTTCGACCATGAGAAGCGATTTGATAGCATATTGAATTGTGAGGGAATGGAATATTTCATTTTTATTTAAAACACAGTTTATAAATTCCTAAGCCATTGTGCACTTGTTGCACTGACATAACAGGTAAGAAGAATGTAAAGTAAAAACAGACAACTCTCTAGATGTACGTTACCTGAATAAATAAGATATTCAGGTACATATAAATTAACTTTATACTGAGACTTTAGTGAAAACAAAAGTATATAAAAAAATTTTGAAAATTATATATATCATGTACCTGATCAAAAACGAGCTGGAGTCGCGATCCGCGAGGAAGGTTTCCTGATGACTAAGGGATGAAAGCCCCAACCTCTGAGGCTACGCAATACCAGTTCTACGGTAACCATAGTGACACGAGGAGATCTGACTCTGACCTACATAGGAGGCTTTACGGTATAGCTTATGTATCATGGCGATTTTCCCTAAAACGTTCAATTTCTCTTTTGCCTTCTATGATGTTTGGTATCGATCCATAAGCACGCATGCGTGCTTGTATATATGTATATATACACAAAGAGACAGTCTCAATGAATCTAGGTCAACCTGCAATAGATTCGACTTTAAGCTACTAAGCCAAACTTACCCCAGGATCGATAAAAATTAATATGAATCTTGAATGTAGGTTAGCCCGCAGTAATCAGACGAAAAATGACGATGCATAATATTGCTGAAAGTAACGAAATAATTTAATGTTCACATTCATTCAATTCATCGCAGAAGCTATGAAAAACATACTTTGGTTATGTACGTAGTAATAAATTTGATTAAAAAAATTGAATCGAAAAAAAATAAATCGAAGGTTAAATATTCTGTGTGGGAGTTCAGCGAACCTGAACCGTGCTGTGTATGCAACACTCGAAGATTCCTGAGATATATTCGCGTTTGGAATTTCCAGTGTTCAAAAATAAATACTCGTAGAGCCACATGCACACGATGAGAGCAGTGGCCATCTTGTGTACACCCGGGGGTGAAAATAAATCCTTCCCGAATTTCGAAATTGACTGGGCGGCAGTTCACGTTGGAAAATCACATTATACACTAGACGAAGATCAAACATCAGGAAGCTCAGGATGTTTGGCTTATCTGTTATCGGTTGAACGCTGAGTATCCATAGACCCATGCTGAATCGCGTTATCACTCTATTAGTCATCTTGTGTGCTTGTGGGTTGCATCAAGGGACGAAGCCTGGCATCCCGACGCCTATGACCCGATTTTTAAATATGGATAATAACAAAGTCGATTTTTATCATATTTTCTAAAACTTTATGACGTAAATATCCATATATATGCAGTAGTGTACACACACATATATATATATATATATATATATATATATATATTCTGAAATGTTCATGTTAAATACGTGTCTACGGATTTAATCAAATTGGCCGTGAAGAACGTTTTAATTAAGATGAATGATTAATTATTTCTTTCTTCGTTTTCAAATGCTTTTTGTAACCAATCACCGATCGGTTAATTACCAACGAACAGTTAATGAGACTCACGACTAACTCGCTGATATTATCGCATCGTGACGAATTTTACTTAATGGATAATTAAGAGACTCTGCCATTACTTACCGAATTGTCGACCACGAATTTTTTTATAACACCAATTTATAAAGTTTAACATATTTTCGATTATCACTAAATCATCGTGAGAATTTCGCGTTGTTCCAACAGATTTAATAAGAAAGCGATTAACTATGTAATACCTAACTACACATCTCCATTAAGATCACTTTGATTTTTTATTAAATGAAAAAAAAATGAATTTCTTTAACACGAAATCTTCTATCGTTTCGCAGAATACCTGTGCAATAGTTTATGTCATCTTATATATCTACTGATCCAAGCAAAAAAGATAAACAAGTTACACACAGACACCTCGCAGTGCTACGCGCAAACCGACAATGAAACTGAATAATAATCGAGCGTGCGAATTGTATGTCGTGACGTTGTAGAAAAATAAATGTCAGAGAAAGACCTCTTCGTCCTGTAGTCCTTCAGAGTAATATAACTCCCATAATCAAAGTGATATGCATGTATATTTCGTAAAAACGCGATTCTACGGTTTGAGTAAAAAATCTCCAATAGGACTGACAAAACAAGCGGCAAAAAGGTAGGCTGCTGCGAGAAGCACGTCGTCTGGTCAGGGCCGGCCTTTCGCCGCGATTTATAATAGACGCATGAATAAATAGTCCTAATGGTAAGAATACAGTAAAATAGTTTTGAAGAATTTTCAAAAGTAAATGAGAGCCATTAGATTTATTAGATATGCGTTGGATGTTTGGATTGTGATTTTCTTTATCTTTTCTTGAATAGAACATACGTTTGCTGTTCAAAAAGTAACTAGACGTGATTATATGCCATTCAATAAGTTATACTTTGGGAACCATTTAACACTATGGCGATGGTCACTTTAGCATTGCGTTGTCGTTAATGGAAGTTTTTTTTTTACTTAAACCTGATGAAGTAACAGCATGAAACGTAATTCCGACTTGCAATTCGTTCCAGTCAACCGGACGCTATTGTATTACGCGTATAAAAATGGTACAGGACTTTTCAAACGGTTTCTACGAATCTTGGCAAGATTGTGTGAGTGTCGGGTTGAATAGTGCGGATCTTGTCTGGACGGTAGTGGTAATTAATTGTGATTTTTATAAGACTGATTGAGAAACCTTTATCAACTGAAAACTAGGACGGTTTGTTACGGTTGTAGAAGAATGATCAAAAAAGTTTAGACATTGAATATTGATGCCCAGGATTTTTGAAACATATATACAATTTTCAAGTTACCGCTCAACGTGGGTCTCGAACCCACGACCTTGAAATTAGGTTTCGTGTTATTACTTTTTTTTTAGTTTATTTCGTTTTAGCATTGAACGGTAACATAGTTCCATGCTTTACCGTCTGATCTAGCCGCGCCTATAGAAATTACGAGTATCCTTGCAAGTAATCACATACATTTTCCCAATAAATTTTAGAATAAATAAAATATACTTAAAACATTACATAAATGAATGACTGAACTATATTTAACATAAAACCAGCTTGTCGAGCGTTCGTAAACAAATATCAAATGTTTATTAACGATACACTAGTTTGTACATTGCTGGCAAACATGAATATCGAATAGAGATTAGGTGACCTCATTATTTCCCAATATTTTCTATCATTCAGGTCTCTGTTTCGGAGGTACGCTGATCACATACAGGTTATTAATGAATGCGCTACGCTTTGGCCAGCGCTTTGGCGTGCACTAAATCCTTTTTGATATTTAAAAAGCAGGCGCCATTACTGGCTTTTGTTTGACCACCAAAAACTACACACACTAAGCCGTTCTGCGCAGTATGTTGCCACAACTTGTCCACCCACTTGTTTACACTACTGAAAGTCTTCGTTAGACGTTCAGTCTCTAAATCTTCACCAGGGACCTGGACATGGCACAAAGTAAATGCGTGCTCCATTGCTATTTGAGATGCCCTGGTTACAGCACCCTTGCAGCTATCAGCCAGTACCAGACGCACCTGATCATTTGCATCGAAGTTCGTATCATCCATAACACTTAAGGACGACGTCTTCAGATACCTCGAGTACTCGTTCATAACATCATCACTGCCCACTATAGCTGCGCTCTTTTGATTCTTCGTAACATGGTTGAAGATTGATGTAGCGTACTTACGTAGCTCGGTTTTGTCTAATATTTTTTGGCCAGGTTGCTTGTGTGTACTCATCTTCAGTAACTCAAGATCACGTTGTCCAGTTAAGACAGCGTCTCCATAGTTTACGCTGTTGGCTAACTTCAGTTGGGCTAATTTCAGTGAAGCTTTGGCATCTTCCGATGAACAATGTCCTGCTTTACCCTGCTGGATAGCTTCACTTAAGAATTCTCTAGCTAAGACTTGCAGTTTGGTCTTTCTGTAGCGATCACCAGTTATATTAAAAATTACAGATGTATCGATTATGTACGGATGCATCATCTTTAACGTGTGCAAGTCTGAATTTAAACTTTGGCCCACTAGAATAGCGTCTGCCGGAAGTATAGTTTTCAATGTGTTTTGCACATCACTTAATGTTGTAGTCACATCCTCTAGCATCTTTTCAGTGATACCACTGAATCTTGTTAGATAATCTATAATTTTGTTCTCGGGCTTAACCAATGTGTCATAGAGTATCTATAATAGGATCAAAGATTAATTACAGTAATTAATGAATCATAAAAGATTAAATAGGTAAGTATAACAATCTGTATTAATGAATTCTACTTTTTTAAATCCTACTAGTAGGATACTTACTTTCATACTCTCGTCGACTAACGTTATCCTGGTAAGCTCCAGTAATCCTGTAGTCGTTCTGCACATTTCACAATCTAAACCATACATCGGTGACTTAGGTGTAGCTTCCACGTACATATCCTTTGTCATTATATAATCGTGATATCTGGAGAAATATAAATATTAACGTTACCTTAGAATGATTATAATCATCAAAATAAGAAATGGGATTTCGAATTACTTTGTAGCCAGTACGCCTGCCAAGGGCAAAGGATAATTTTCCTCTACTAGCTGCCACGGTGACAGAAGTAGCTGAGTCCTGGGGAACTTGTCTGTAACTGGAACATCTTTGTAGGCCTCCTCAGATAATTCTTTACCGTCTGAGGTTGTAGCCGGCTTCATAGGAAATACAGCTTTCAGAAGCTTCACTAGATCACCTGTCCTCTGAAGTGCAGCTTCAAGGGAACCAAATTCTGAAATTAACCATGTCACTAAAATCCAAAATAATTAATGAACATTTTGATTACTATTAACAAAATATTCAAGTTTCTACAGAATTACGTTTTATCAGTCTATCGCTCTGAGTTCCAGTGAGTGGTACTGCTGCTAATTCTTCAACTATTGAACCACCATAAGCTGCTGGTGTCACTAGTTCTAAGCGATGTTCTAGATTCGTAGTGATATTGGAAAACATTGACTCGTAAGCCATGAAGTGATATAGGGATAGTCCTTCTATGACCAGGACCACAGTATGAGATACCTTAGGAAATACAAAATAAACAATATTTGAAGTTTATTTGAAAAATGTATAATTCAGTTTAAAAAAATATAAAATTAAGATTTACCTTATTATATTTTTCCAGATGACACCATCGAGCTGGCAGGTATGGAGAGTGATGACCCAAAAGAGAATACATTAGCAGATGCTGTATATCACTTAGAAATATAGGAATTCTTTCCTCGCTCTTTAAATTAATACATAAACTGGCATTGTCACCAACAGCCTTTAAACGAAAGCGTGGTATAGCTTTGAGCTTGTTCGACCTTTCTCGAAGTTCCTGCTTCATTTTAATATATTCTTCTCCACTCAGTCGAGGCTTCTTGTTACTTAGTGAATCAGGCTCCTTGATAATGTCCAAGCTCTTTACATTCTCATTTTTTATAGATTCTGGATTGAGATCTTCCAATGGTCTACTACAAGGACGTTTTCTACTTGGACTCTCACCGTTTATAGTTCCACTACTGGAACTACTATCACTAGCATGTCCAATATCCATTTCCTGGTAACACCAAGAATACTCAGGTCATGTTATCTACCTAGTTCATAAAAAATCAGTTAAAAATTTACCTACAGCTTGTTTATGAGCTCTAGCTTCTCTATCCTTGTCGTTGAGTTTGGTAATTTCCAAAAGAGCAGCCATCTTCTTGCGTTTTTTTTCTATTCTCTGTAGTTGCTTTTCCGTGGGTGTCTTCATAATTTTCAACTACTTAGCAAATGTTCACAGCTGAAACCGTTTGTTCCTATAATAAATTATGGAAACTGTAAGCATCACTGAAAAAGATAACCTAAGCATTAGTACACTCACTCAATCCTCCAGGTAATTTTCAGAACAGGGATAATAGTACAGACATGCAAATTCAATACAGATATAAGAAAACATAATGTAAAAAATTAACCCAGTGATCCAGGGTCACCACAGTGACCTCGTGCATTTAGATCACAGGTCAACGGTGATACATGCAGACTTGAAAATATCGGGATGGTGTTTTGGTGTCCAGTTTGCTACAGTGACACGTTTCAGAAACATGTATTAAAGCTAAGTTTCCTTGGTCACCTACCATCTATTGTTACAAAAGTGTGCGATGACACTCGGTAAATTTAACTTCAAATGTTTCAGAAATATCAAAACATCCCAATATCATATTTCACAAAGCTGAATAAAACCACATGCTTACCATGTTGAAATAAATTGAGGTTACATTCCATCAAAATATGCCTTCAGCGCGCTTTAAAAACCGTTTACCATCATGAAGAAAACATTACATTAATCTCTACGGATTAACACCAAACCGTTAAGTTCCACTTTCCAAAATCATTAAATTCACTTAAACAGTTTCTAAAAGTATTGAACTATTTTGCATCCACAAAAAATTTCATTAGAAGTAATGAAATTGAAACGATCATAACCCACAATTCCTGAGCTCCGATAGTCGCCGTATACTGCTGTATACCAAAATACTCCACTGTACGGGAGGTTGCCTAGTTGAAGGGGCTTCATTCTGAATATGGAATTATGACAACACTTCAATTCATGAAATCACAGATAGTATTGTAATACGATTGACTGAGGTGAGAATATTTGAAAAGCTATAAAATAATACAAAATCGATTAATTTCCTGATGTTATAAAATCAACAATTCTACATAACAATTTGGAATATATTAGACTCAGCGATAAACATACTGCATTTCAGGTGATTCTAACACATTTCATAGACTAAATAAATTTAAAATTGTGAAACAAAGAAAAAACACGCGTCCTGTTTACATATTCATGCGGAAAAATTTCACACTAAATAATTCATCTTGTGAAAAACATCCAAATAACGTTGTATCACCTAATAACTCTTGTATAAGGTTTACAAATATTTCAGTGCATATAACGAGAATCCCAGAGTATACACGTGCGTATTTATATACATACGAAGGTGTGGGAACCAGAGAGATCCAATGTTCTGACTAGCCAATGAACTCTAGAGAAAGCTGAGAGTCAGAAAATAGACAGGCGCATCCTCCATTCGCCTAGATATACATTAGCGTGTACATATACATATGTATATGAGCATACGGTATAAGTGTATATTTCATATAATATAATATAAAATATATCTATAGTATAGACGCGTGCACATGTATATCAGCGGCCGAAGATCAAGAGAATCATAAAAACAGACACGATCTCTTTGTATTGAGTCTGCGTGACGCTTATACCACAAGAAAAGTTCATGGAGAAAACGATGATTTTTACATGCCGATGAAGTAAAGTATCTTAACCAAATGGCGGTACGAAATCTTGCGGAATTATAGGGACATCGACTATATATTTAATTGTTTCGTACGATTCTAACTAATGATGAAACTTGCTACAAAATTATGTTTGCTATACTATGATCAAACATGATTATTCGTTAGTATGCGAATAAAATGATCGTTTGCTAAATAAAAAGTGAAATAGAAATTTTCATATCAGTTAACTTACGATAAATAAGCTGTCCAAAAGTATCACCTGGATCATTTTAGTTAGACCTGCGTGTCTATAATTGGCTATATAATCTCATTGTTGTTAAGACGCTTCAGCTAACTCCTAGATTTCTACGTAGTTTAATTGCACTCGTCAGCCTATTAAAAAGTAATTAGTGTTAAACGCAAGATACGAGTCTTTGACTGCACTCACGAAACTTTTTCATATCGCCCATTGGAATTTCCAAATGAAATTCAAAGTAAAAAGTTACTGCGTTTCTATATAAAATCATACGCAAAAGTCATTTGATCCCCTACGGAGAAATAAAACACCCAAAGAATGAAGAAGAGACAGAGAAGATATTGTTACTCAAGTTTTATTTTAAAAGCTTTTTATACTCTATTAAATATCGCACGCCATACTTATTTCATTCTTTTTATATCGCACAGCTCAGACACAGTAGTTAATTCCTCAATTTGACGACAGATAACGTCGTCGCTCGTCAGAGATTATTAATTTAAAGAACGTCAAACTGCCAAAGATTTCTTAGAAATGGTAAGGCGAGAGTTTATTTATATTGTATCTCAACGATGGGACCAATCGTGAAAGGCTATCGACCCGTAATTTATTCGCCGTCTTAAAGTCTTTGGGTTCAGCTAGGCTAGGTTAGGTTAGGTTAGACTGGTTGGCTTCAGCTACAGTCTCGGAATAGTAATTCTCCAGATAATGTCCAATGAAGATGCAGTCGTATTTTCACCGTGGAGTCTTCCACGACGTAATTGACGATAATGACTCTTTTTACGTCGACGGATCACAAGAGTTCAACTTCGCCAACGAAATCAACATCATTTTACTGCCGCACGAATTTTCGTCATGAGAGAACTATAGCGAGCAAGCAATGCTCACAGGAAAGTGAGTAATATACATTTTTTAAATAACTTGATAACCGTTATACGTTCCCAACAAAAGGAAGGATAATAAAAATGACAATATAAAAGGTTATGCATGCCAAACATGTGTTGCCTGCAATTAACTAGCTTGCCCATTTAATAGCCATGTTAAAACCAGCTTCGATTTCGTGATACGATCTACGTGAACCTTACTTTCCCAAAAGGGAATATTTGACAAGATAACGGTAGTACAGCAGAATTTTCTAATGACCCATTTAAACGCCTTTATGCTACACCCCCACTGTAAACGAAAGAGCACATAGTATGCCATAAGATATATTAGTACAGGAACCAATTTCCCACTTTCACTAGGATTCCTATTAAATAAAAATCTTTCTGTTTTTGTTCTCGACAAAGTTTCTTCTCTCATTCCTACATAGTTAAAGAAAACGAAATATTGTATAAGAAAAAAAAGCCTAAAATACCGACTATGTTACTTTCCTACTCCTTTTAACACGATTGGGACATCCTTTCGCATAATTTTGAAGTTCTCCTCAAAATCCATCCTTATCTTCCTTTTATCTCTATTCTCAACAACCACCTAGACTCAAGGTAGTCGCATATAATATTATAATTGATATTCGCGCAGATCTTACGACTTACAATCCCACATTGGAGATTTCAATGCACGCCAACCTAGTTTCGGTGTTCATTATCATTCTTATCACTTGAACTGCCACAGGTCACATAGGTCAAAAAGATGACTCATACCAATTTCACCCGTGAAATTGCATATTTGTACTCGTCCGATGAAATGCAGTTACTCAATACAATGTGGAATTTTGTATGAAAACATTATTTTTTTTTATTCTCCCATGTGTGCCCGTGCATAAAAACGTTTACAGCATATATTACACATGCGTTTATTTTGCTTGTTACTGTATTTCTCTTTTGTTTAGGCAATACTTACCTTTGCGTAATCCGCACAGCGTTGACTTCTGCTTATCGATATTCGTATATGAAATACAGAATGCCAATACATGCCAAACGCAACTTGAACACGCCAGCATGGATTTTCTCGAGAGAGAAAAACAGAAATACTTAAGATATTCTGTTTCACTAAAAAAAAAAAAAAACTGAAAAAGAAGGATGACAAAATGACGTCTTGAACAACAGTTCCGTATTTCGTTGTATGTGACATATTTTTATGTAACGTCTCGAGTAAATTAAATTCTTTGAGTTGCAGCCTCCCCGACTGATTTCTTGTAATCGTCGCAATTAGAACTTGCTGCTTCTCCTCTCTTGGTCTTTCGTCACTTCCTGTGCCCATTGGATTACGTTAAGCATCGCATATATCACCAGCAAACCTTAGGGCTGATTCACAAGGCACAATTGAGCGACTGATTATTCTGAAGTACCAGTAAAGCTGCAAAATTTTTTTTGGAACAAAATTCAATTTCACACATATGCGGTTATTGCTTACATTTTTAATTGGAAAATCTGTTTTTTTTTTTTTTTTTTTTTTTTTTTTTTTTTTTTTTTTTTTTTTTTTTTTTTTTTTTTTTCTTATTATTTGTATGGATTTCACAAATTATTATCTGAAGTTAAATCTGAACCTAAATACGTCCGTTCATCTCAGATAACTTGCATAAACCACCGATTCAAGTTTAGAAAGTCAGCACGAGAACATCGGTAGCGCAAGTTAGGTACAGTGATGGTTAAACACCGCGGTATACAACACGATGCAGAAACTCAGGTAGGTAGGTAGGTACCAAAAGTGGGGATCAGAGTAACGTAAGTTACCGATCGTAGCAACGCGGTGACCACTCACTGCTCGTAGAAACATCGGGCTATCGACATCGGCATACAGTAACAGTAGTCATTTTGTAAAATCGGCCCAGATACATTAGAAAAGTTTAGAAAATCAGAGAAAGGAAATAGAAAAAAATACTAAAAAAGGGAACGTTCCTCGACATACCAGGATAACGGTCCTTCATTCAGGAACCATGGAGAAGGAACAACCCGACTCCTTGGCTACAGTGGCTGTGGGCTCGGAAAAAATTCCGCCACCACCCCATAGCCACTATGCACCAAGCGAAGTGTACTCCACTGCCGAACCACCACCGGTAAGAGAAAATATATTTACAAAAATTTTTGAAAAAAATTTCAAAATTCCATTCGATTCATTATTGACGCGTTAACGATTGTTCGTTTTGGAAAATGCAGAGTTTGCAGCAAGTAATAATATTTTTAATGAAACTTTATGGCGCATTGCTACTTTTTATTTTCTATTTCGTCGGTCTTTGCGCTTTTTTTTCTCGCACTTTCTATTCCAGTCCGCAGTTATTACAGCGCTAGTTTTTCTGCATCGCTTCGCAGTACTTTCGCGCGATACGATTTTCTAGAATAAAGAGATACGTCCGTCACGATTATTGTAAAATGTGGGGAAAAAAGAAAAAACGAGTTTACCAAGCAACCGCAACGAGAACCGCGAAAAAAGAAACAATATGGCCGCTATAACGAATTGTCAAGCGAACGAAAATCTTCGAGAAATGTTTTTATTTCGGGTTCCTAATTTTCATCAAATCACAAACTGGTTTCGACTGTTACATAATAATCCAGACAAGTCGTCGCGATCATTAAACACAGTCCACTCGTCATGACTTCCTTTCACGTTAAATCTCATCTATCCATACACGCTCAAGGATATTATAAAAAAAATAAAGAAAAAGGAAACATAAATTCAGCTCACGATTCACGAGCGGACCATCGCTAACCTTGATGAAAAAAAATATGCAAAACTTAAAAATATCTTTGCCTGGCAACAGTAAATACGTGTATTTACTTTTACGAAGAGTTATAATACGTCGTGATGGCCTACTATCTCTTTAGAGGCCTCTCACCCGTGAGTCGCGTTCATCCACATTGAGGTCATTACGAATCCTCTCTCGCTAGAAGCCATTTTAAAAGATAGTCAAAACAATGGTAAAGCAAAATCCACGCACTATACTTACCATCTACGCAGTAATAAAAAACAAAATTTGACAACATAATCCAACCGCACTAAGCATTGTGAAACGCGGGAGATTTAAATTCAAAAATATGAAATGTCAGTCTAACGACCTTTTACTATGTAGGTACAGTCGTGACAAAAAATATATCCTGTTATTTTCTTACCAACGCAATTTGCTGAGAAAAGAAATTTCCCAGCATGCACTCCAGCCGTCGGTAACGTCGTGACGAATTGTCGCCAACATAATAATGTCAATGTACAGTTAGTGCGGTCCGACAATAAGACCGTACTTATTCCCGTTCGGTAGTGGTACGAACGGCGGTACCGCAACACTTGAATAAACCGTTTTATCTTCATTGTCGTTAAAACTGCCATTATAAGTGTCTCTTATTTTCTGCCAGAATACACAAGCAAGAATCCATGCTCACCGGACCGTCAACGTTTTCACTTTTATCACTGAATATTCCGCATTTTTACAATGCACATACCTCGCACAGCTACAAATGCAGGCACACGTATCCATGTAACTCCTATATCCATACATATATACCTGTAATGAAATTGTGTAGGAAATACTCGAAGGACTTACCGACTCGGTTGAGCACGTTAGCGTGACGTAAATATATCGCAGTAAAACCTCATTGTATCCCGTATGTCCTTGTATGAGCTAAACGTCATTATCTAAAATTGATAATGTACTCCCCGAATGTATATTGGCAATAGGAACGTGATGAAAATAATAAAAAATCTTCTTCCTTCTCTCTGTTCATCCCTATCAGGCTTACATGAGACCAAACACCAAGAGTACTGCCGTTCAAATCGCCAGGATTGCTGCTATTACTCTGGTTACCATGTGTGTTGTGTTGGGTAGCTTCATCCTGGCTGCATCCTGGGTGCAGGCGCGTGCATCCTGCACGCCGGAGTCCATTGCAGCCATGCAGGCGCAAATGAAGACTCAGCAGATTCATCAGGCAGAATATTTTAAGCATCTGCAGCCTGAAGCTCTCGTACAGGTAAGAGGAATTTATATACAGATGTACAAAAAAGTATACATATACACATTGCAAAAATGAAATTCCTTCTTCCTTAGGGTAATTAGATGAAAGAAGTTAAATTAGAAATCTGAAGTTTCAGTAGGAATATAACAATATTGAAGCTCTAGCGTATTTGTCTCTTGATCTGGCAATACACGTTACAAGTATAGTTTGCCTAAAAGAAATATATATATAACTCATTTTTTTCACAGAGTATATATACTTTTGTATACCCTTATACGTATGTATACTCATTTACTTTGATACGTCATTTGTATCCACTTTGAAATTGCCCAAAAAATTATCACTCTGTACATTCGTATGCTGCGTGACGATTCAAGATCTATTTTCGAAGTAGCGTCTAGTATCAGCTGTGTTTCTAAGGATTAGTACAAGAACAAAATGAAGAGTAAATTTGCCGTTTCTGATATGCTCGATGGAGGGTGATGAGTACGACGAAAAACTGATAAACTATCCTAATCAAATTATCGGGAAATACTTAAGTGACAAATACTCGTGTCGGGTGTTCCTTGAAATTGAAAGAGAGATACAAAAAGTTACGAAGAAGAAGATCGAAACTAGAAGGCATTGGGAATGAGGTTTAATAAAAAAAATAGCAACTGTTTCCCACGATTGAGAAGAATGAAATCTTGTTCAATCCCAGGCGCACCCACTACTGTTCATTATTATCGACACCGGTTGAGCGTATGCAGATCTTGATGACCTTTGTTTTTCATAATTTGTGCTTCGTTCCTACCGTCGGTAATATATCTACATTTCCATATAGGTAAAAAGAGTATAGAAAACTATGCGAGAGAAAATAGCGTATACAAAAGGATAGCATCCGGTTTCGTCACATCGCACCATTTTTAACCTTCCGGCATTTTAACATTCGCGTCGTCCGTAGATATGTATATACGTACTGACGTGAGAATAGTAAATTGCGACGCAGTTGGCCAGCAACTTAAATTAAAACCTGAATACAGAAAGGAGTGTTAGTGACGGTGTATCAGGCAATAAGTGCCTGGGTACCTGGTACCCAAGGAGAACCAGGAAAGAGCATTGCGTAATCAAGATTTACACGACGAGGATAGAACAGTCCATGAAATGACCTGAGGATGATAAATAATTGTTTATTCATTTGTGATTTCCGTTCTTCTGTTTTTCCTCTAATTGCAGGTCTGTCTCTCTCTCTCTCTCCCTCTCTCTCTCTCTCTCTCTCTCTCTCTCTCTCTCTCTCTCTCTCCCTCCCTCTCTCTCGTGCGCCCCCCCCCCTCTCTCAATCTCTCTTCCCAGACTTTAACGAAATTCAACGAGTTGCATCTAACGAACAATATCCTCGAGGTCAGCTAATGAAATCGTAATTTTCTGGAATTGCCAAAGCTCCCAGCAGTTTTTCCATTCATCGGTTCGTTCAACGTCATAGCACACTGGTTATTAGATTTCTCGCGTCAAATTTACACCTCGTGGTATCGTGAGAGAGGAGCGAGGAAAAAAGTATAATAAAATGCATCTTAACGTTAACACAATAACCTGCAGAAACTTGAAGGCGGAAGTCGAGATACCGGAAACTGTTTTCACCTGGCACATAATCAATTTCTCCATCGTGGATATACGTGAGATTTACTCTTGCACGAGAAAATGTCCTCTTGGTCGTATCAAATAATTAACTATACAAATCTGACCGATTCGTGTTTCTCGTTGTTGGAGAAAAATATAATTTTGTTTGCCTTTTCATCATATCCCAACCACGTAAATCACTCTAATGCACATGTACACTCGTGCATCGATAAGTACCCATAGAAAAGTGATTGGCCATTAGAGTGATTTGCGTTGCGAGACGCGTAAGCCGATCTTACTTTCTATCGTATTACCAAAGCGAACCGGAAGTGCGTTCCCGATCAATAAAACAAACACTAAAAGGTATTTGAGTGTAGAGTTTCACCGCGTGGTGAAAACGCGCACGTACTTGTTGTGCATGACTGGATGCGTCATATACAAATGCAAAAACAAATATGAATACCTACGTATGGCGAATTCGGTGTGGAGACACCTTCATAAAATGATGCTGCATCGTGCAAAAGAAGAACAGAGAGCCAGTACCAAGCTGTGGAAAGGAACGGAAAGTGGGTTGCCTCTCTACTATACTGTTGCACGCATCAGGCAAGGTGAACGTTCTCTAAAAAGATTTTCTCCCACCTCCCCCACCGTGGCTAACTGTATTGTATGTTGTGTCTGGTTCTTTTTTTTGTAACCTCCAATATATGTGCAGAACATATCCACTGCGTCCAGGATGTGTAACGAATCTTTTAGGAAAGAAAACACGTGCGACATCTGTCGGGATGCGAATAATGTATTTCGTATGAAATCGAAAGAATCTATAATACATATATTTTTAGTTCGTGGAATAATGTCACAAATGCTTAATATTAAATAGATATTTTTGCATTTACCAGTGTATCAAGAGTTTATCCGGTTTATGACAATGGGAAGGAAAGTGGGCAGAATATCGTCATTACCTCGACTCGGTGGATTACAACGCTTAGTTCCATAATTACGGATGTTTAGCTAGGATCACTGTAATTTCTATTTTCTTGTGCTTTTCCACAGTTCGCTAGGCGCGGAATCATTACTCCTTATAATGACTGTCTAATTGATAGCTTGCCGTTATTTACGTGCTGTACGTTTTCTAAAGAGGAAGGGCTATACGTGGAGACTTTGCTGGCATCGGCGTCACTGTCGGCCATTGTACTTGCTTCAAGGTATACTGCGATACTATGGACAATATTATACAGGATGATTCACGAGAAGTCACTGATTCGGGTGTGGCTTATTACCTTAAGCAATGATGAAGCTGATTATTCAATGACTTCAACTCGAATGTTATCGTCATTGGTTAATGAACTTAATCACTGACCAATCACAATCGCTGTATAATATTATATAAAAATTATGTAGATATTGTATTCAATATAAATTCAATGTACTAAACATCGTTCGTGCGTCAATTCTTCTAGCTCCTTTCTAATGCAGGTCGCGCGCACTTTCAAACTCGCCTTAAATACGTATATTAGTAGTTTGCAATTGGTATCCACATTGCGTCTGTGACTACTCAATAATCACTGGAGCGAGACTGGCCATTTTTATTTTCTAACATATCATAATACAGATGATTATATGTGTAGAATGAAACATGAATCAGGTACATCTAGCTTGCATTAAAAAAAATATCACTTTGAGTAGGATGATCATTGCGGTTGTGCTAAGTGGCACGTTTATGGAATTCGCGATAAAGAATAAAGTATATATTTCTTTTATAGAGATGAAAAATGTTTTTTTTTTTAATTATAGGATCCGATTGAGAGCAAAGAAAATCTGCAGAGCTTGTCGGAATCCGCGATTACTAAAAAGGAGGTGCAACCTGATACGAAGGACATAAAGGTACAGCAGAAGGTCGAAGATACTAAAACAGAGAACGACACTAATGACGTCGACGAAGAAGATGATTATGACGATGATGAATTTCCACCAGTACATATAAAGCTTCCATTACAGTTGGACCTTGATGATATAGCTGGGGTAGGTGTCATATTTTTATATTCATTAGGAGCCTGCAATAAAACTAATATAAGTTTAATAACTTTTTGATTATCCATTGTTAATTTTATTAATTTCCCTTTAGGCTCTTATGCAACAGGCACGCAGCAGAGTATCGTGCGTAGTAGAACGACGAAGAGCTGATGAAGTGATGGACGGTTCCGATAATGGAATCGAGAATAGGACAGATCCAGGACGCTTCCAAAGATTGAGTGGAGAGCGCGTAGCCATTTTATGCGAATCGGGAAATCCCCATCAGGAGTAAGTTCTAATTCCGGACAATAAACCGGAAGAAGCGTGTGGAAAATGTTACGTAAAAATTGGTTAACCTTTGTTCGTTATTTTTTTAGGCAACAAGAACAGGAAATGATGACACCGATCATTGTTCCTCTGGGTACCGTTCAAATTCCACTGCAAAATTCTGAACCGAATTTCAGCCAATACCAGATCAATACTCAGTACCAGGTACCGGATATGCAACAACTACCACTGAGTGATTCTAGAGGATTGAATCACATTCCCTCAGGACTTTTATTACCTGAATTGAGAAATCTGCCACAACTAACTGTAGAAATGAGACCACCTAGGATGGGACCACAGTCAATGGAACCTCAGGTACTGTATAATAATTTGAATAGAAGAAAAATTATAATTATTAGGTATTGTTAGTTAATGTATCAGTATTCTATTTAAGATGGAGATGAGACAGATTCCTATTGAACTACGTCACTTCTCAATGGATCCTATGAGAGCTATGAGGCCACCAATGGAAAGACATGAACAACCTAATATGTTCCAGCATCCCGAATACCGTATGTTGCCTCAGGATCAGCATACTCCACCCATGATGCCACCACCACAACAAGAACAAATGACACAAGAGCACAGAGTACCTCAGATGATGATGCCACCACAACAAACTGAACAGAGGCCTTTAGTTGCGCCATCTGCACCAGAGCAACCTGCTCTTGAAGCACCACGTCCTCTACAGAGTCTGCCTATGGAGATCAGAAGAATCATCCAGCAAGTGCCATTGGAGATTAAGAATATCATTCAGCACATCACCGACGATTCCAGGCCATTCCCTATACAAGTTCCGGATGGCGCTCGACGTGAAGTAAGTTAAATTCAGATTTCAGGTTAGAATATTGAGATAAAGATTTGTTAAAAAAATAATGCATTTTTCTTAATTCTTTGATTAGAACGTTCACGAATTCAAACCCTTCCCTGAGGGTGCCAGACCGATTCCTCTGGGACCATTCCCACTTCCGGTAGAAGTAAGAAATCTTCTGGAACATGGAAATATTGAGGGACGCCATCAGCAACAAATGGAAAACAATGATGAACGTCAACAGGTAGCCAAACCTTTCCCATCACCTGACGATCAGATTGAGGAGGTTGAGAGAAATTTCCCGATACCAATTGAAGTCCGCAATCTAATTCACCAGGTATGATCTGATACAAGTTATCGCGAATGTTATCATAATTTATGTCTGTTATTATAGATTATATCTCGAAGCTTTAATTCAAGGCCAGAATCACAATCATTGACAAGTTTAAGTTAATTATGGTAGCGTGGCCGAGCGGTCTAAGGCGCTGGTTTAAGGCACCAGTCTCTTCGGAGGCGTGGGTTCGAATCCCACCGCTGCCAATAATTTTACATAAAATACCAAAATCTTAAAAAATCGTTTTTCCTAGAAAAATTCATAACTTTCATATATAGGTCGTAGAAGGTCGTGCCTTCCCGGTACCAAGATTCCCGCTTCCATTGAGACCAGTACAATCCTTGGAAGTTCCTGTTGAAGCTAGGGCGCAAGTCAGCGATGAACAGACGAATGAACAGCAGGAAGCACAGCAGGATCTACAGGATCAGCAAGGACCATCCATGATACACGCACAACAGAACCAGGAACAATCAGAGGAGGATCGACCTCATTGTAAGTTTTTGAAAATCTCGAAAAATTAAAATTCCGAAAAATTTCCTTATCTAATTAACATCTTTCTCCTTCCTGACAGATGTTCAACCTCGTTCTGTGCGTTCTGTACCAGAACCATTCGCAGCACACCGTCGTGAAAAACGCGTACGTCGTTGCGCCTGCGACTGCGCTTGTTAACTTACATTTCATTTGTAATCGGAAGAAAAACACGAAGCCGATTGGGTTACGTGTGCGTGGATGTATTTACGCGTGCCTTTGGAGAACGCATTCGTTTTTTGTCCAAATTTACCGAAACGGAAGGCAACCCTTTAACTGGTGCTCTATAATGAAATTTCCAGATAAAACAACAATCTTCTTGTAAGTATGGTCTAAAAAAAATAAAAGGTCTCTAAAAGAGAACGTTTAACGACGAGGCCAACGAAAAAGTATGAAGATTCAAATAGTAACGATTCATGTTAACAAGACTTTCATATTTATCCAATGCGGTCGTTCCTAAAAAACAACATTGTTCTCTTTAAGCAAAAAAAATTGGATACGCAGTGATACTATATTTCGAGTTTGCTTTTTTATCTTATAATTAACAGCAAACTGAAATTTCGTTACTAATTTTTTCTTTTTTGTTGTGGCGAGGAATATGCGAATAATTGATTAATCGATTTCCTTAAGTGCATACAGGCTTATTATCTGCAATTAGTCAAAAGTAACAGACAACACTTTAGGCGTTCCTAATTCACAATATGGCTACGGTAACCTTAGTTTATTGTAACTTTTCTCAATTTCCTAGTAGAAATGAAAATTCGAGTAAAAATAAACATCAGATATACACACAAGATAGAGGCATAAGAAGAGAAAAGAAAAACTGCGAAACTAACGCGTGAGTGGTTTGGTTTAGAATTCTATTCTACGAATCGCAGAGTATATAAAAAAAAAGTATATATACATAAGTGTGTGTGTAGTAATATGTAGAAAAACGCTCCCTGTACATTATATATTGCGTCTACCATTAATTCTTTAAGGTATGGACATTGTACTACAATAATATGTATTATTGTTTTATTCATTTTTTCCCTTTAGTTTCCCTTCTTCTCTCTTTCTTTTTTTTTTCAAGAAAATATAAATGCGGTTACTTAAATTTAAAGACTATATTGATTCTATTCCCGACATACATGTTCTTTATAAAGGATAATATAAAGTCGACGATTATCGCATGATGTCTCCAAGCAAAAATAACGATAAAAATTTTTTGAGTCTATAAACTATTTTATTATCGAGATTAAACCTATACTATAATGCAACTGATTATTCAGTCTTTATTCGAATGCCATAAAACTGTCTAATGTCTGTCTAACTGTCTAATTCAATAAATTATATTTTGTAATAAAAATATCGGAAAAGTCTTGCTTTAACTTAATTTAATGCTTTTCAAATGGAGAACGAAATTGCGCGACTATTCCTGGGTTAGGATTGGTTAAAATTCTTAGCAAGTGACTGGAATCACGCCGGGTGAAAATGGTGAAATACTCATATTTGACGCAAAAGTTTGAAACTCACCGAACACACTTTTCCGCAGGTCAAATTGCATATTCATAAGGGATAATAAAAAAATCCAGGAATTATCTGTTTCGTTAGAATTTGACGTCATCTGCATCATTGCAAAGTTTACGAAATAAATTACCCGGCAAAAATCAATAAATATGATTAGATCTCCATTTCAAAAAAGTGGATTGTTCAGATCCAATTCTATACCTGACCAGATCTACTTAAACTTGATGTGGAGATTGTTGCAATGATAAGTTGGATCTGACCTACTCTTATAAGATCAGATTCCATCTGATTCGATGTAATTAGATCAAATCAGATTTAATGATTTTTTTTCTTGGGGACGATATTATTTATATCTAAAACACAATGAGGATCAATAATAATAGACAAGTATGTGTTTGTGTATTACTTTAACACTCCCTTTATTTCTTGGATTGACCGTTAAACAAGTTTTTTTGTAATTAATAAATTCGTACTATTAGCCCTCATTACCCGGTGGATAAAGTTATTTGTGTAGAAGTTTCGTGAAGTTAGCCGTATGAGTATCGATTAGAGTTATGCATCTGATTGTTCCTGGTACAGACTACAGTTCATCCATGTAGGTATGACCCGTGTAAAGTTGTAAAACTATGCGGAACAATGTGTAATCTTTTTACCCAAGGACTTCAGCTGAGCACATACAATTTTATGTTAAAACAGTTACTAATGTGTACATACTATGATCCGAATGATTCCATTATCTGACATACTCATCGTTTCTTCTGCTAATCTTATCCATCTAAGATTATAGAATTTGGAACACTATTGTCGATTATAAATGCTCTGCGAGTTAGATAATAACTATTGCATGCTAACATTATAGCAAATTCAAAGTAATCACTGCATTTTAAGGAGTATCTGTGATTGGATACACTGAATAACTACATAGCTGTTCCTGGACTGTTTATCCAGTGTTGTAGATTGAACAAAGTTTTGAAAACGCCAAAACATGATGGAGGTATGTTGAATCCGTATATTAATAATGCCATAATGTTAAATGTCATTATGCGTCCATAACATCATATTATGGAAATATATTGATTGGAAATATTGAATGGAAATATATTGATACACCTTACATTATGCTACAGAAGATTTGTGTGCATAGCTTTAACACAGCTGTGTATGTATAGTTGCAAAGAGCACATATAGAATTATAAATGATTTACAACAAGCTGGCTTTAGATATTTAAGATAATACTTGTAAAACTTAAGTGTCAATACGTGAAATACATAATCTTTTATATGTTGTCCGACTCAATCTATGGAAATATATTGATTGGTCTACACCTTACATTATGCTACAGAAGATTTGTGTGCATAGCTTTAACACAACTGTGTGTGTATAGTTTCAAAGAGCACATATAGAATTATAAATGATTTACAACAAGCTGGCTTTAGATATTTAAGATAATACTTGTAAAACTCAAGTGTCAATACGTGAAATACATAATCTTTTATATGTTGTCCGACTCAATATATAAGTGCGGTAGAAAATTGTCTGTTACTTTTTATAAGAGTGACACTGTATCCTTATAGGACATGTACTTGTTTGTCTTAAAATAATATTTGTTAATCACTAATTCATGTATTTTTTACTGTCATAGGGTTTTACGAGAGGGACTAACAGACAGTTTGAGAATGATGCAAGTGGTCAGGATATACGATATAAACTAACTCGTGATTCTCATCCTTACAATAGTGTGTCAACAGAAGAAGAAAAAGAAGAAGAAACTTTTCTTATCAGACAAAAGTTGTGGTATATACGTTTAGCATAGCATTTCAAAGAAATGTCTTCCGAACGATCCAGGAATACAATACCTACCTATTGGGGTACTCTATTTGCAGTGTTTGTAGTTATTGGAATCTTGGTGGTGAATTATATTACACGATGGAATCTACCTACAGCGCTAACTGTAGAATCCCTGAGGACTGCTGAAGAGGGTGATGATCTTTTTATAGCTGAGAGGGCCAGAGCTGACAATATAGGCCTTACTAAAATTGGTGACAGAGTAGTAGGAAGCTATGAAAATGAAGTTCTCGCCGTAGAATACCTGCAAAATCTTCTGCTACAAATTCAGGACCAAGCGATCAACAATAAAAGTGTTCAAATCAGTATTGAAACTAGCAGTGGTGGTTACTACTTGTCGGGTACACGTGGTTTAACTAACATGTATGCCAATGTTACAAATGTAGTAGCCAGATTATCTGATGTCAAAATGAAAGACTATGCTCTCCTTGTCAATTGTCATTTTGACAGTCATTTATTAGCACCTGGAGCTGCTGATAATGGCCTAAACTGTGCTGTGATGCTAGAAGTTTTGAGAGTATTGTCCAGAAGCAGAACCACTCTAAAATACGATGTAGTCTTTCTTTTTAATGGCGCTGAGGAAAACCCACTTCAAGGTTCACATGCATTTATCACCACCTCCAAATGGGCCAATATTGTTAAAGTTGTCTTAAACTACGATGCCGCAGGAAATGGTGGCAGAGAATCACTATTTCAAGATGGTCCAGGGAATAGTTGGTTGACGGCATACTATGCATCAGTGGTACCACATCCTTCAGGATCTTCAATACTTACAGACGTTTACGAGTCCGGCCTTATTCCGTCGAATACAGATTTTGTAATCTTCCGAAAGTTCGGCAATATACCTGGTCTGGATATGGCACACGGTTTAGGAGGATATATTTATCACACATCACTGGATGACTATCATAGGATTCCAAATGGTACTTATCAAAACACTGGGGACAATATGATGGCTCTTGTTAAGGCATTAGCCAATGCCGAAGAACTTGAAACAGC